ACTGATGCACTTCTTTGTTAAACACATGATTTATAAAGATTATAAGCATGATTCTTCAAAGCAAATATATGCTCGATGGCGAGCTAATTTAGCCCCTTTTGATTTTGAAATTTTATATAAAAGGGTAGTGATAATTCTTTACGATTTTTATCACGTGAATATTTGCGAGGATGGAGTGGCCACAAGTTAATTATCTTAAACCATTATCCGTGATACATATTGCTTATAATAAGATTGTTCTTGAATATATGCATTATAGAACGGAATATATTTTTGCGAAGCATAGACTAAATAACTTTTTACGAGTTCGTAATACAATTCTTGATTGTCTTTGATGAATTTACTTCACCACAACAGATAATATCATTTGAAGACCTTGAATTTGTCTATGACATGATAGAAGACTTCACTGGAAGATTAACGAAAGTGAAGAAAAGTTGAATTATTGTAAAGCCAAATTATCATTAATAATTCTCTAATTTTTCAGATTATGTATCCACCCGATAGAGGACGCGGCCCTTATAGAGGTCGTGGAGGAAGAACAACAAACCCCGTAATACAACATGGGAATAAAAGCTAATAGCTGCTGATTTTTCAAAATCTCGGAGGAATCCTCCTCATCAAATGCGAAATTGGTCCAAATAATGGATTTTATTCGAAAGATTACGCATTATATAAGCAGATTATGGACCAAATCCAAGAGCAACAAAGTGATACCTTTCTTGCCAAAGTAAGTGATCTTGACCGAGGATGATATCCGGTCATATGAAAAAGGATCCACAAAGGAGGTAATATTCCTTCTTGAAAACGCTGATATTCGGTGGAAAGATGATCCATGGGTAATATTAGGAGATATCTAGCGAAAGAGTAATGATACTGGGTGAGTCATACAAACCCGAAATTATTATGAGAATATTCTCAAACAAACATGTGAAATAACACATTTTCAGTCTAATCGGACTACGATGAAGTTTATAACTTCTCAAAAATTAATATCAAAAAGATTTTATCTTTTGAAGAATGGGAATTTCAACCCTTTCGAAAGAGAAGTACGTAATACTCCTACTTCTCCTCCTTTAAAATTTACTTCTTGGGATTATATTCAAAGTTTTACAAAACTTTTTATTATGAAAACCCAGAAAGAAGCATACTTGGTTCATAAAAATATGCTCCCATGTATATTCTTCTCCAATACCCAACTGGTTTATTCGGTGGTGGGCATTATATGGCCAACAACAAAAATTTTGCGAGATAATTTTTCAAAATTATATTATCAATGGTTAAAATCCTCTCCTATCATTGATAAACTTCAACACATATCATATCGTGCTCCGGGAAAAATCACTCTGTTATACTTTTTATTGAATTCTCAATTCCTTGGATTTATAAATGGGTCCCCGAGGTGGGATTCAATGAATTTCAAATTCCGTGTCTTTATAAGACATATTACACCAAATTTTGGGACAAATTAACAAAGATGAATCACAATACCAAAAGAATGGAAGGACAAGATTTCTTTGGACGAAATTGCCCATAAAATCAAGGAATATACTCAAGACAAAGGACGACTCAAAGCGAACCCGGATGAAGAAAGTCCGTTTAAACATATCACAAAGCAGATTCAGCTTGACAGGAGCAATTAATAAGGAAGAAATAATATCGCATATATGAAAGAAGTTAAAGCGGATCTCATGAGAAATTTAAAGAATCTCGACAATGATAATATTTCGAAAAATCGGATGTTTCGATGAAGAGCATAACTTCAAATGAAGAAAATTCTTTTGCAATATTGGTAGGAGAATCTCGGTCACCGAGAAAAGATGACGATCACGATGAATTCATCAAAATGCATTACAGAGATCCAAGAAACACTCAATCAGCCAAAGGAAAAGGAAAAGAATGAAGTGACAAAAGTAGGAATCTACTTTTGAAATTTTGACAATAGGAATCTACTTTTGAAATTTTGACAAAAGTAGGAATCTACTTTTGAATTTTTGTACAAGTAGACCCCCACCTTTAGTCAAATCTGAAGAAAAACATGTCAAATAATGACAAGAATTAATAATTTTTTGTAAAATAGTATTTAGAAATGTCTATAAATAGGAGGTAGAAGCTCATTTGGAGGGAATCATTCTCTCCAAGCATTCTCTCTTTTCTTCTCCCTTTATCTCGAAATTCTCTCTCTCCCTTGTAAAAAAATCCTTCAATAAATATATCTTTCAAGTTTGAAGCATAGAAGAAGCCTTTAAAGGTAATATTTTCTTTTAAGTTTGTTTTAAGTTATAGTTTGAAGTACTCAGACAATGTCTGAGTAAATCCTTTGTCTGAATCAAACATTTGGCTTTTGTTTACATAAATTATACATGGAAGCTCTATCTCCTTCTTCTCTTTTAATTAAAATACGATGATTTGAGATTGGTTCCAATTAGAGTTCATCGGAAAACTCAACAATAAGTGCATTGGGCTAGAAAAGTACCGTTATGATGAATTGTTTAAGGGGAAAAGAGGCCACATGATGCACAATAAGTTGTGGATTCAGACGGGCTTGAGAGTTGGGTGAAATTTTTCCATGCATCTCGATCATTGATATTTTAATTAAGGATGGATAGAGATTTTGATCCTGTAGGTGGTGACAAGGCATAGCTCCGGATGAATGGTATCGACCGGGGTGGTGGTCCGGATTCGGCTGGTTTCCTTGCTCGTCTCACTTGCAGTGTCTACCATTTAAGATAAGATTGGCCTGGCCCAGTCCACGCCAATTTGGTATATATATATATATATATATATAGTTGACGTTGTACTATATATATACTCAATGTCAATACAACAATTATCTTTCATGGTATCATAATACTGAACGATTAAGATTGCACATTCAAACTATTCTTGAACTACTTCAGATTGAACATGGTAAGAATATTGTGACAAATAACCTTTCGGGTTAGACACGTTCTAAACCCTCATTGTTTCGAAAACTCGATACTTTTTATGTAATAACGTTATAGTTTTGTGATATTTGTTGAATATCTTTAGAGTTGCGATCCAATTTCCCTGAAGGAAGAGACCATTGTGTACATTGTACTACCGTGTAACCATAAAGTACTCTATTTACAGTGACCATTACATTATTGTGGATATATTAGACAAACTGAGTAATTAATTAATTGAACCAAAAAAGCTGCAAAAGTAGAACTTAAATGTAATTTTTTACACAGGAGACAGTGTACTGACATCTTAATGACTTATGGAAGAGTATATCAATATTCAAATACTAGAAGGAAGTCCAAAGCTTTCCAGAATTCAGATGGTTTCTTCATTCTTGACCAAATTTGAAACTTTTCTATTAATTAAAAAAAAAAAAAAAACTGAAATGATCTAAGCTCAATTCCAGATTACAGTACTATTTTATAACTTTGTTATATTCTCAAAACAGATCATTGTATAATCCAGTAAATTGTGTTTTATAGGCTAAACAGAAAACAGATGCCTAGAACTAGAAGCCAAGATGGCAGAGCAATTCAAAAGAGGGGTGACTCAACAGACTGGGTAAAAAAAAAAGAGAGAAACAAAACCGGGGAGTAAACACCGGCGACCTCGACTCCCCCTGGCACTTTTATCTTTTGTCCAGAAGGGATTTGCTTGAAAAAGGCATTACTTGAACTTGGAGCTCCGAAATCACTCCTCTGGGCGGGCGGCATCCTTTCCCCATAGACTCCAGAGCCTACCCAAAGTCAAACACTGTTTTCAATGGGACGTTTCCAATTCCATTGTCAACAAATTTGACAACCATAATAATACTACTTTCTTTGCAATGTGCTACTAAATCAATACTCATGTAGTACCACAGTATTTTTTTTTTATATTTTTTGTGGGACGCAAGGAGTAACGCTTTCGTAATATTTTTATCCTCCTCGATTAATTGAATTGAAACTCTCCAATGGAACAACCCATTTTAAAAGTTTCTGAAGTTGCTAAATCCTTGATGATGAATTGAAGGAACTGTTGTGGGTGATGAAAGGAATCAAAACTGGAACTTGGCTGATCATTTCACACGAACTAAATCCTTTAAAAAAAAAATAAAATGACACAATAAATGTTAGGTATCCCATCAACCCATACATTACATATTCCAACAACAAAGACCCACTAACATTCGTTCACCTGGAACGAATTCAATTCAAAAGCATGTTTAACCTCCTATCCTGCCAAAACAAACCTCTGCAAAGATGCTGCAGAAAATCGCTGTTACTTGTACAGTATTGTTGACCCACAAACAGAGGTCTTCCCACCCCCCATCCCATTACATTTACATTTAATCAATCAGAAAGTGCAAACTACATTTACTACCACTACTAACACTGTTCATGTTCAGCATTTCTTTAGCATAATGAGGGAGCCTTTGTTTTAAGGGCACTGGGTATTAGGCCCCCCCCCCCCTACAGAATTGGGTACAGACAGAGTCCCACAGAAAAATATTACTAGCATGACGAAGCCAGTTCGCCATGTGGGGCTAAATAGCCTTTTTCAAACTTTCTTTCTCTCTGTCTCTCACTGTGTTTCAATTTATGAGAAAGAGGAAAAAAACTACTCCTACTTTTTATGATATACAATATCTGCATGCATTGGAATATACACTCAAGAAAGAAGAACGACAAACAAGCCAAAGTATATGCAAAATTGCCCATAAGAACGACCCTTCAATGGGCCTTCCTTCACTGTATATAAAGTAAATGACAAACAGTGTTTTATTACCCCTTAGAAAACGATAGGAAATGGAATGAATTGTTATTTACTTATTACCCCTTTCCCTGTTTTTTTTCTCGTCAATCAGTCCCCCACCATTATACTAACAATTAAAGCTAAAGTAAAACCACCCTTGTTCAGTTTTATCTTTATTTGCTCTGTCTCTGCCTTAACTCTTTGTCTCTCTGTCTCTTTCTGGTTGCTTCAGAATTTATTTTATTGTTTTCTTTCTTTCTTTTCTTTTTTTTTTTTTTTTTACAAATTTGGGTTTTCCTCATTTCCTGTGTAGATTGGAGTGGAAGTTAACATTACTTTGGATCCCAAATCTTCATCATTCTCCTCTCTCTCTCTCTCTTTTCCCTCTTTATATATTTGGTCCATCAATCTTTTCTTTCCTTCTTTCTTTCATTCCCACAAGCGAGAAAGAAGATACATTAGAAAGTTGCCGCATTTACTCTCTGTTTCGTTCCTCTTTTTTAAATTCCCATACTCGCATATTCAACTCCGCACAAAAAAATTGAACCCTTTTTGAGGTTTTGAGTATCTGAGAAGTCAATTCATAGTTCAAAACCTTTTTCCCCCTTCCTGCTTCTGCTAGTCTACTCTACCATGGAGGTAAAGATTGCATTTTTATTCTCAGTTGAATGCTTTCAAATTGATTGATGCCTTTAATTCTTCCAAAAGAATGAAATTTCACCTGGGTTTTTTTGTTTTTCCAAAACAGGAGTACTATTTCAACGTGAAAAGGGGCCATATTCCGGCATTTGGAAGCTGGGATTGTAACAATGATCTTCCCTTCACTCAGTGCTTCGAGAGCGCAACCCAAGCCGGATTGCTCCGCTACAGCTACTCCGAGGACCGTGATTTGTACGTCGCCGGCGACTTGTATCAGAATGATGTTGTAACTCCGGCCATGATTGTTGTTCCTCGCCGCAGGGTATGCCTTACTAATCCCTTAATTGGACAGCCAGAAGATATTTTCTGTTCTTTAATTGAGGCAAGAATTAGGTTGATCAAACTAAAAAAAAAAAAAAAAAGAGTTTGCAAATGTCACGTGAGAACTGAACCCTTTTGATTTGATGTTACGTGTGCCTTAATTGATTGTTTTGTCAGATGTGTATGGCAACCCCAAAATATCCAAAAACTCAAAATTGAATCAGAAACAAAAAAATTGGGACAATGGAATATACATAACAATGGAATTTACAGTAAGTGAGGTCACTTTCGTGAACCCAAAATATATCTTCTTTCATACTAATTGTCGTAAGGCTTTATTATTTGAAAAAATTCTCTGGATTGATTATGACTGACCTTTTCTTTTTTTTTTTTCTGCAGGTAAAATCAAGCTACCAAGGAGGGAAAGAAGCCAAAGGAGGAGGAGAAGCTTGGGTTGTGTGCGATTGCGAAAATGGGGTGACTCTGAAAGCACCACCAAGTCCTCTGCCGCCGTCTCCTCCCCGGCGAGCACCAAAAGCCGTCGATGAAGACCTCTACAAAATTTCCCCTGAATTACTCCGTGCAAAACCCAGAAAGGTGAATAACGAAAAAAAAAAAGTCCCCTCCTCTGATTTTAGCTTTTAACTACTTTTTATCTCCATTTAGTCATCAAATTCATCATAATCTACTCTAGAGTCCACCAAAACATCGCGCTTTGCTTTATTAAAAGTAACCCGTTTTAGGTAGATGAAATGTGACCCTTTACGGCTTTTTTGATTTTGATTTTTGTTTGATTGATTGCAGAAGAGTGGGTGGCGTCTTTTCTCAAGCTGCTTGGTACCCAGTTGTGTTTAATTGAATCCGGTGAAGAAGCTCAAATGTTAGTAGTAGTATTATTATGCATTAATGGAGAATTGACAACAAACTACTGAAAAGCAAAGCAAGCACCAAAAAGAGCTATAAAGGGGTGGAAGAATGAAGAAAATGGTGGTGTTCTTCTTCTTCATCTTTTTTTTTTGGGGGGGGGAGTTGGCGATGAAATTGATGGCGGTTTTCTGGAAGATCATTCAATATCTAAGTAGTACTCAACATCATGATGATGACAATGATGATGACCTATTATCACGCCCAAACTGTTTGAACGTTACCTTTTTGAAGCCTCCTATTCCATCAGCTCTACTAGCTTTAGCTATAGCTAAAGCTGCTACAATGGTGTTTTTTATCATATTATTATTATTAGGAGTTATTAATGTAGAGTTATTGTAAAAAAGGCTTGCTTGAAAAGTGAAAGACAAAACTCACGGGTTGCAATTATTATGGAATTACATGTGGTGTGGTTATTATCCCATTCTGATTTATTTTCTTCTCATCATTTTTCTTTGCTTAATTCGTGCAAGATTGTGATTGAGCAATGGTACAAATTGTTCTCATTTGTCAAAGCCGAAATTGCAAACTATTTTGAATTTTTTTGGAATTGGAAGGTGTAGTAGTAGTAGTAGGCTTGCTTTTTTTTTTTTTCAGCAGGATGGGGAGGGAATGGGGGGATCAAACTTTTGTCCCACATGAAACTCTGGAAAATCATTTGTGTTTTTGTTTGGTTTCATAAAGGTGGGGAATGGCTTTCTTTTTTCTCCTTTGCGTAAAGTTAAAGCGATAGGAGATTGGGGAGAGGGAGAGGGGGGCATTGGGACGTGTTAGTGTAAAAGTTTCAACTCTATGCTTTTTTTTAACCACATTTTCATGGCTTTAGTATAGCTTTTTGAGGGGCCAAACAAAAATACTAGGTACGTTCATTCAATTTCATGGAGTATGCTTTATTTCACTCATCATGGTTCCATTGACAAAAAAAAGTTTCAAATTTCTTGTATGTTTTTGTTTCTTGCGTACCAAGACAATATTATGTTATGCAGGGCTTTTTCTACATTCTTTCAATTTCAAAAGTAATGTACTTTAACATGCATTTCTGAAATCAATATGTTTGCTTTGGTATGAACAAAATAGCCATATTTCAAAGCTCTTTTGAACCAAGCTTATAGCCAACTTTTTGTCATTCTTTTTCATGTGTTTTTTTTTCCCTAGTGTCTTAGGTTGCCGTTGTTTCTGGACTGGCTTGGCCTTGTACTTCCTTGTAGATTCATCAGTTTCGTCTTGTTTTGTTGGGCCGATTGGCTTAACGGTCCTCCTATAGTCCTAAAATGAAATTTAAGAACGGTAGAGCTGAAAAAAAAAGGGCTGTTGAGCCCACTAAAATACTGGCTATGGCATTATTGACACATCTTACATTTGTTGGCTCAAGAAGATTTCCTACCCCATCCATCATGACTCAGATAGTTACAAAGGAAATCTTCATAGAAAAACTTAATCAGAGTTTTTACTTTTACCAAGGTAAAAATCAGATCAAAACATATCAGATGGAGATGGTTCTTTTAGACAAGGAAATTCTGCACAAGTCAAGGCATTGGTTGTTCAAGAAAGGATCTTTCCTATCCAAGCCCAGTTTTGCATTAGAAGAGATCATGCAGTTAGAAGGTAGGTTTTTACAATGTGATGTTATTAACGTGCATAAGTCGAGGAAGTGCATAGGGAGACAGACATTAATAAGAAGACACGGAAAATAAAAAAGAAGAACCTTTTCTTCCATTTCCATGTATGGTTTCATATCCTGTACAGTCATTTCAACCACAAATTAAAACAAGACAACAAATGCCTTCTGTCTTCATGTACAAACCACGAAGTTCGCAACAAGCATTTTCTAGAGAATACAAGCTAATTTCGGTAAATGAATTGGAAAATAGTGAATCCCCCAATCAAAACTATGATGCTTGCATAGCCCTAACTCTCGCAGTGAGCTCCCTGACTTGGTTCCTCAAACGATCTGGATTGCAGAAGAAATCTACAAATACCCGCCTTTGAAGTGCTATCTCTTGTGAATGATGTTTTACCATCTGTGAACCAGAAGCTTTGGCTATCAGAATTTATTAACCTAAGGGAAAAATGTATCCAAAGTACAATCGAAAGAAAATGCATGACTATTGCATAACATAACCATCACTTCCACACATTTTCCCACCAACTAACTTGTCTGTTATTAATGAACAGTATCTCAATTTACATGCAAGCTAACCTAGCATGTATGAGTTGATAATATAACTCCCATAGCCATAATCCTGATGACAAACAGATGCACCCAAGGAAAGAAGAGAAAAGGTACCTCTTTCTTCTTGTTATGTTCCAAGGTTACTTCCTCAACAGCAGCTGCTAGTTTCGCATTGGCCTTTTCCATTTCATCAAGCTCCTTCATCAATGTCTGAAGATAGGAAGATAGACACCATTTCAAAACAAAAAACACTTCGGAGAATACTACAACAAACAGATACTGAGTACAAGTACTGGTAGCATTTAAGCATTTCAAAGCCTTCGGACTGTAATTTTTTTTCATTGCAAACAACAAATAATCTGATTTCGCAAAACCTATTTATAAACACTTGATGATATTCAACCATGACAGAAATAAAGCTTGACCAATATAAATCAAATACACCAGTCAAAGAGAGGTTAGAATGCAGAGAACTATCTACCACCATCAGACTGACACGTACCCGAGGGGTCAATATTGGTTGAGCAGTTGTTGAAGATGCAAATAGCAATTGCTGCAGGCTTTGAACAAGGGTGCACCTGATACAATTATGAGACAGAGGGAGGCAGAACATAAACCATTAGATGTTTACTGAACGAAGAAATCCACACAACTGAAGTCATTTCAGAAAAAGGATACTAAACTGATAGATGCAAACCGTTAAGCTTCAAATGAATTGTGAATATCAAAAAACTAGGTGATTTAAACATCAAAATATGCACATTTGAAAATCTCATCTAGTCCCGATTTGAATATAAAAATATGAACAAAATTATAAGCAATTCACATGAGAAAGGGGAAGCAAACGCACAGCTCATTGATACATCTGTTTCTGTCTACTGGGAGGGCATGCTCTAGCTCAGACTGCAAGGTCATCAAGTCGGACTGAAGCTCTGATATTTGCTGAATAATGCCCGGCGCAGATACGTATGTTGATAAACCAGTTTGAGCATCTAAACCAATTAAAACCTCAGGGCCATCAGGAACTAATCCCAAGAAAAAAGAGAAAGCAAACCCCAAAAGAATGATACTTCATGAATATTGTTATTACTTGAGTAGATACTCAAAAGGTCTCTGACACCATGCAGAAACGTATCTCGATCATCCACAGCCCCTTGTTCTTGCACATCAGTTGCGGCTTGAATTAATGCTAAACAACGACCCTAAAGAGAAATTAAATGCATAAGTTCCAGAGAGCCATAAACTAACATGTCAAATTATCAGCCAAGGTAAGAGATTGAGCTTTTTGGATATACACTTCTCTGCTTCAATCTTCAGATAAAAACATTGAGAAAAGCCTTAGAAAGTTAGAAAGTGTCTCATACCACTCGCCCTCTCGCTGCAGACAGGTATCCTTGCAGCTCTGATTCAATAACTTTGAGCAAGGAAAATGCACCAAGCATGGTCTTCTTTTCCAGCTGACAAGCTAATTTTAGAAACTGATGTCTTGCCAGCTGATTGACTAAGTGAGTTATGAACTAAAAGGAAAAAAGAAAAAAAAAAAAAGGAAAAGGTGATCAGGATCCGGGATAGTGAAAATTTATTTTATGTAAACAACATGGAAGACTTAATTTCTAGGGGCATCAAAGCAGGCAAATGAGAAAGTCAGGGTAACTGTTACAGGACACAAGCACCAAAAGAACATTAAGCTCAACACATGCACCGGACGATAAACAAAGATTAATGCCTTTTCAAATTAGCACTTCCAGTTGACTCTGCTGGCATAGTTTCCGACTAATTAAAGTGCATTTTAAACCTGGAATATATCAAATTCCTACAGTAATAAACTGTGGTCCATCTCCACAGAACCTACCAATTTTTGTCGATTGATGTAGAATTCTTGGCGCATGACCTTCAGATCATAATCACCTAATTCAGTAGAAGATTTACCACCAATATGAGTGAGAAAAGATGTTTCCATACCCAAAAACGTAATAAAAGAACATCAATCTTATCAGATACCTTGCAGGATATATGTGTCTTGCAGCTGAGCCAGCTCCCAACACAGATCAGGAACTGTCTGCGGGATACGTTTGAATAAGTAATATTAGGTAGAGAACTGAAAAGCAACCTTTAGCACACTGAACTGGTGTTAACCAGTTATGATTTAGGATTTCAGTTATATGTCCAAGTGCACTAGCACTTAATAAGAAGTTGGTGAAGAATTGAGATTGTTCATGAAGGACATCTCAAAAAATGTTCTCCAATGCTACTAAATATTAGTACATATTGTCCCTTCTGAATATTCTGCGTTCTATGCAACACAACCTGAGTCGTCACTTCTGAGGATAAAAAATCCCTAGTGTTAAATTCAAATACAAAATCTAACTTATCTATGTAGCCTGGTTTTGTTAACACTTACAAAAAGCTAAAACAACACATGATCCTGGCCCAAAATCCAACATATCACAATCCTGCTTTGCTACTTTGCGGAATTTATCCTCAAATGCAACTCTAGAGAGTTAACCGGAGGCTCATTCCATGCCTCAGTAATGCGGAAATCATCTATATGCATAAGCAAAAGTCCACAAAGAAAAAAAGATAACACAATCAAACAAACTTTAAAGACAGACCTCAGATAGTAATTTCTCCTCTTTCCGGTACATATTTGTTAGTTCCCCTACCAATTCAGCATGCTTCCTCCTAATTTGGTGGAAAAAGAAATTACATTGAGCAAAGAAAGTACGAATGCGCTCATGCAAATTGGATAAATTACATATTTAAAAAACCCTTCAATCAAATATATACTTCTACCTCAGGGAGTGAAGATCAAGATGAATGTGAGCTTCATCTGAGGTAACTTGCCCCTTAAGTGCCATGAGAATGGCTTGCTGCTTAGCATTTTCAACTTGAGCTTCTACCCATTGCCTTTCACTTGTACCGAATCTGCATAAATTAAGATAAGCCGTTACAAATCTACACTGAAAGTAGAGATGACAATAGGAAAGCTCTCAATTCGTGCAAAAGTAATGATACAAAAATCATTGGCATAATTAATGTCAAGATTAAATTCTGGAAAGGAGTCAAATGACTTACATAGATCTCAACCTTTGTAGTTCTGAAACACGCTGATGGTGTGATTTTTCCAGATCTAAATGCACAATGATGCAAGATAGAAATTAAAAGTCCAGCTTAAAAATAAAATAAAATAACAGAAATCCAGTAAAATGTTTTCAGGTTTTCAATTTGTGTCTCAACTAATGTGCCAGACTTGAACTCTTTCTGTTGATTACAGTATTCCGCCACTTACAAATGTAGTCACTAAACGGTTATGAATGGAAACAAAGCATTTTCTCCGTACATTCTAAAGATGTTAACAGCTGTTTGCTGGGGGGAAGGGGATAGGCATATTTTGATGGCATACCTCGAACATAGACATTTGAGATGTCATCCAAACTGACCCAAGAACATTTCGACTTTCCCTCCTCTGCCACCAACCTGTATGGACCCTAGATGAGACAAAAGACAACCCATGAACATTATCTCCAAAGCAATCTTTCATTTATTGGGATCATTGTAATAGTAGAATGGAGAAATATCGGGTGAAGAGAAAAGATGGAACATAGAGGTCTATCCTTTCCTTTCCACAAGACCATAAAAATTATACATGAATTCAGCACCGCTAGATGCAAGTTGACAATAAATGAACTGACTTCAGTTCTTTAAGCTTAACCAATCATATAAAGTGCCATTTAAATACAATTATGCTTTCATAATGACTTGACAAACAATTCCATTTGTAGGGAAAACTGAAATTAAAAGATGATGATGGAAATTCATTACACTCTCCCTAGCTTCTACTTAATCTTTCACTTGACCTCAACAAATGACCTCTTCCCTTCACTAGAATCCACTGATGAAAACCACTATGTATATCAGGAAACGGGTGGCCAAAGATAAATATAACCTGTTCATCAGCTGTAATTTTATTGCACACTCATCACATATTCCATAAATACCTGGGAACTGACTCATATTATACTGCTTACGAGATGCCACGTCCAATAGAAAAGTTTGAAGAAGATAAATGAAATACTGCAGATATTGTGAAAAGTTACTTTTACTTCCATTCTCCCCTTTCTCCCAGAAATGGAACAGCCCAAGAAAAACCAACCTCTGATTCTCTTTAACAAATTTTAAAGGTTGACATACATTAGTAGATTAGGAACCACAAACTCAAACACTGCTTCACAAGGTTTGTCTGATAGCTAAGTTTTCTCTCTCACATTTATGCGGGATAAAGCTAACGCAACAATATTTCTTTCACAAATTGTTCAAGGATTTGAAGACTTTTACGGCAACAAGCATTGATAGGAAATGTACCGTATCCAGTTGTTTTACAAACCACTGATTTAGCTCCTTCATACAAGATGCATCGGCAAGTAAATACTGATGAAAGTCAGAATAAGCCAAGTAGATGCCATCTTCTGCATGGGTACAAACAAAAATTCATTGAGTAGCGACAATCAGACAAAACTGGCAAGTTGAAATAGTTAGACTTTTGCATATCCTTTTAAATTTCTTGTTGATTTATGAGCTTAGCATCCTCAAATATCTCCATAGCTTTGTAAAAAAGACACAATTACTTCAGATAGAGAAACTGTCATAGCTAAATGCTATTCTAAGGAGATTCGAACAGTTACAAAAATACATGGGAAACATAATGAAAACAAGAAGGTTTCTTGAACCATTCTGCCCCAGTTCAATCTCAAGCCAATCAGTATCTTTAATTAGAGTGTGAAGAGAGATATAAACTGAAAATCACAATGCAATGCAAAAAAAGCTAACTCATTTAGACTACATACACATTATGTTTGCAGACAAACATTTTAACCGGAGTAGTGTTCAAGGATTTAAGTTCTGAAAACCGAACTCCAGAGGGAAATTCCAACAAACTAAAACTTTTCCCAGAATTTCCCAGGAGTACATGAGAAACAATTCGGTTTCAGTGAAAGTAGTAATACCTTCTCCTGAATGATAATGGGCCAGTTCTTGAGCTGTAGCAGCCATCTTTCCAAGAACGGCATTCATCTGAAAAAAGCAGAAATAGTTTCATACACTATAACCACATACCATAGAGAACTTTGAAAATGAACCCGTAAACAAAAGAACTGGCTTACCTCTAAATTTCTGGCGGAAAGGCCATCCTGTATAGATGTCAGTTGTCCATTGACTGCAGATGTGGCTGCAACTCGTGCTCTTCTTCCTTGACTTAATGATGAAGCCTGCCCAGTGAGCATATCATACTGAGACTGCAAGCGTCTCAGCTGTTTCTGTAACTCCAATGCTTCAGTCTTTAGTGCTACCGTAGCATCCCTGATGATGAAATGAAAATTTTATCTTGTGCCATGTAAGGTTGCAAAAAGTATTATAATCATTGCCCTAAAGGATAATTTATCTAGATTCTGGAAGGTCATCATTGTTATATTTTAATGCATTTTATGCCTAAACAAGCAAACCAAAATTTTGATATGCTACGACTGAAAAAGCAGCTCTTACAGAACTGAAGGATAAACACTAACATCAAGTAAATGACTAAGAAAGGGAATAAAACTAAGTTTAGCACGTAAAAAAAATGCATGAGATTTCTACACTCCAATATATCAAAGCTTTCTAAAAAGTTTTAGATAAACAAGGTAACCACAGTGGATCACATTCCATACTGATAAATCTCCCAGCAGAGCTGCAGCCAAACCACATACCTAATTTCTTTCAAACCTTCCTCTGTTCCAAAAACTGCCTCCTGGTTGTCTCTCCTAGTAGAAAAGGCTGAAATGCTATCATAAGCGAAATCTAGGTCCTCCCCCTATCGAATAAAATCATCCAAAGCATAACATCATTGCCAATGAACATTAGCAGCAACACAAAAATTACTCAAAGCAAAGCAAACAGGGGAGCGGCTATATTACCTCCAAAAGCTTCCCTTCTTGTAAAAACTGCTCGTACCTGGCGACAGAAGACGAACTTCAATATGTGGAGTAAAGTATGACCCTAAAATCAAGATACATTACGGACTAATACGATTCCAACATCAACACGTCAATTCCAGTTAGCCCTTTTCATGCTAACAAATTGTTCAGTAAACCACATCCGCTGATTATATAAACAGGTGAACCCAGATCAAACACCCAGCAAAGCAAGAAGAATTGCAACTTGCAGAAGGAAATGCAGAGAGCGAGTGAATAAATAATAAGAAACTTAACTGTGAAACCTCAGAAGGGGTGAGGACGTTAGAAGGGCGAAGACTAGAGCAGAGCCAATCGAGAATGGGTCGAGCTTCGTCATACTGGAAAGGCCATTCAAAGCTGTCCGGGTCCAGTGATTCATGCCCTTCGTAACCCAATTCCCCCAACAATGCGCACAATCGCCCACCACTACTCATCTTTTTTCTTTCCTTCAAATTTTTGCTTTCTCAGATCTGAGAGACCAAATCCGGTCGTTTAACAACTTTATGGTTCCCCGCCGAGCCGGCCCATTTATGCGAGCTTAGCTACACAAGTGGTTCTTCATTCGCCGTCGATGAAAACAGTAAATTAAGGAATGATTTGAATTTTCTAGGGTGAGGAGAGAGAGACAAGACGGATAGTTTTGGCGCCGGCCTGTCCTGTTTCTTTAATTTGCAGAATTTCAAGATGGGACAATGAAGTTTGAATTCTGGAACGGGGTTGAAGTTGAACTGTTGAAATCTTGTTTTTAATTTCTGGAGGGATTATGTAGGAATTGTATTTCAACTATTTATAGTAAGATTCCCATTTTTTTATTTTTCAGCTCAAAATAATTTAAAATTAAATTAAGTAGAAAAATAGTACACGTGAAAACATCTCGCCAAATCAAATGCCATTATGCTCATTTCCGTAGCGCTTAGTAATGGGTGTCGACTATTAAGCATAAACGTGACAATTGTATTTTATGCGCCTCAAAGAATAGAACTGCATTAGCAACAACATGTGTACATACAAAGCAGTGATAAAACTAGACAAAACTATTGCAGACCTATTCATTGAATCTTGCCGCAAATCTCAAGTTTCTACTTATTTCCCAGCAAGCTAAGAATTACAACTACCTCCAAGCCAGGGCAACTCACAAGAGAAAACAAAACAGACACAATTCTATGCGGTTAAAGGTCCTTAAAACTTCATTCTGATGTAGCAGCCATGACCACATTCGTCGATGTGATTTTGCAGTCCATTGTCTGTTGAAGATTGAAGAACACCAGGTAAGGAGAAGATTTTGGGAGCTGTCCTCTACCGGATTGATAGTGAGCAGAAATCACGCATCCAGACCGTATCTTGTGGTACACTTGACATAAAGTGTTCAGCCAATCCTTCTTTAGTCAGTCACTCTCGCTCTCAGATATGTATCTCTGAGGATTGAATGGCTGATTCCTGGATGAAAAATCGTCCATGCCGAAATCATTTCCTCCATTCATAGGAGCAAAAGCTGCAATTCAAACACAGTGTGTCATAATTTTGCTGAGTAAGAAACAATCAACAGTACAGACCCACCCAATTATATTTCGATGGTATTTTGGATAGCATATCAACGAGCACTCTTTTTTGGTTCATCTTAAAACAGACCAATGGTAGTTCGCAACGCTATCTTTCATTTTAAGGAGCACTAATTTAGGAAACATTTGGAAGATATTCACTTTGATCAATCACCCTATTTGGCTTGTTTCTCTTTCACTCCTTAGACAAGAACTTGTGAGTGTTCAACATAAACGCGAAATGAGGAACATCAAACTTTAAGCTTCTTGCGAAGAAAATATAAGCAACATAACCAGCACTCACCATGGAGGCAGAATCGTTAACATTTTATCATTATGAAGACAGCTGACAGCCACAAACTTTAAGTACCAAATAGAACAAGCAGGTCACAATCACTGGACTCACCTTTCTCTCTCATTCTTTGTCCACGATCATGTTCAAACTTATCGCGAATCTGACTGGCCTTTTGCCAAGTATCTCCACGAAATTGATTAGCATTTTGCCATGTTTCTCCTTCCCTGTTTCTCCCCATACCCTGGTCCTGCATATCAAGAAAAATGAACATCCATAACTACAAGAACAGGATCCTCCACTATCAATTGAGAGACAACAGAAAAAGCAGCAAACTTTTATCATGCAGTTACACTCAGTGTTAGTTTGTCCTAATCCAGCCACATTGTATGAGATTGTACTTCCCAATCCCCCACCCCACCCCCACCCATTTATGTGAAAATGGACAGTGAAAGTGAAAGAACAAAAAGGAACTAAGTTAAGGGTGGCGGAGGATTTGTGGGTTAAGAAAGGATAACACAATCCAGCCTGCTGCAGACCACCCGGAATCAACTTCTTTAAATAAAGGAACAAAGAAGTTCATAATTTTTTGGAACCATTTCTTCAATGCAATTTGTTTTCCGTGTAGGTGTCGTCGATCAAAGCTTAGACACAAGTCTCCCCTGGGAAGAGGAAAGAGAGCCAGAACCAAACAAGGAAAGTGGTATAGCAACACCATGTATGTGCTAATTCTAAAACTCAGAACGCCTCTGTTAAAGCAACATGGCCTTACAAATGACATAGGAAATAACAAAAGCAAAGTATACAAGCAGAAAAAAAAAATTGTCGCTTCAAGGAAATATAAGCAAGCAAACACAATAAATCACATGCCTGAAACTGCTCAGGCCGGTTCTGTCTTCTCCTGCACCAAAAAAGAAAAAGAAATGATCAGTTCATTCGATTAACTTGCAAGGAGCATGATATCACCACAATTAAACATTCTGATGAACAATATGTAAAAAAAGTACTAGAAAAGTGGAGCAACCTGTAAGGATTAAAATCTGCATCATCATCTTCGGCTGAATCATAGTTGGCATGATCTTGAGCAAGTTTTTTGGAGTAACCCTCGTCCCAATATAGCCTCTCCCAGTTCTCCCTAAGCTCATTATACAGTTCAATATACTTTTTACACCATGGTTCATGCTCCTGTCAAGCGAAAGAACCCCAAACTTAAATTTCTTCCCCCAAAAGAAAAACAATACTCATAGTGAGGACAATTATCAAACAGTTTGTGTACTAAAGGAAAACGAGCAGAACTGACTGATTCTTTTAGAACGAGGCGAGTGCGGCGCATGAATTGTTCCCGGAGCTGCTTACGACGCTTGTTGGGAAGATTCTCTCGAGGGATTACAAACCTTTCACGGGGCGGAACATTCTCGCCGATCTCGTGCATCTCGCCGTCGACTACCCACCACTCAGATTTCCCCGCGTCAGCTTTGTTCAGCAAATTCGACGGAGCATATTTGGACCTCCGACGGTTATGCGGCGGGTGACCCGCTTCCGTTCGGGCATACCGGAGTTGTAAAACATGCGGACGAATCAATTTGGAGCAACCACCATCCAAAACCAACTTCTGAATCCGCGACATCATCGCCATTAACGAATCCCAGAAAGAGACACTTCTTCGCCGTCTTATATAGTTTTTAGAAATTCATCACCTGAATAATTCTTTTTATCGAGATGAATTAATAAGATTAGTTAAAAAAAAATAAATAAATCTGAAAATGAACCAAGTTTCAAGAAAAATAGAGAACAGTGAAAATATATATGGGTCCCACGAACACACGGAGTCACGCACCATCTGACCCACTTTCTTCAGTCTTCCCGCCTTTCTTAATAAACCACTAACAAATGTAATTAACAAATAATTAAGTGCGCAAATCAAAACCAAAAAAAAAAAATGTCAAAAAACAAAGCAAAAGCTATTTGAAAATTGAAAGAAAGAAGCTTGCAGAGCAAAACCCAGAAGAACACAGTAAGAGAGAAGGAACCATGTGTGGAAGGGCTAGGTGTACTATGAGGCCGGATGATATTCCCAGAGCTTGTCATCTCAATGGCCGTTCTGTTCGTCACGTTGATATGAATAGGTAGCTAAACAGATTCTTAATCTAATATTTGAATTCGTTCCATTTTGTATTGATATATATATATATATATATATATTTTTTTTTTCATCTAAAGTGTTTCAGTTAAGTGATGGCTGAGTAAAGGTGAAATTTTTTTCAGGTATCGGCCGGCTTATAATGTTTCTCCGGGATTTAATTTACCGGTGGTTAGGAGGGAAGATGGCGGGGATGGTCAAGCCCAGCAAGAAGGGGCTGTGATTCAGTGTATGAAGTGGGGCCTTATTCCTAGCTTTACCAAGAAAACTCAAAAGCCTGATCACTATATGATGGTGAGAACTAAAAAGTACAGTATCTTTTTTGTGATAATTTCATGCTTTTCATGTTTATGTGTTGTTGATGAATTATTCCCTGGGGTTGGAGTTGGATTGCTTTTTTAGTTTGATGTTTTGATATTACTGCGATTTCCCACTGGTTTATGGTAATTGTTGACCGGTATTTGGGGTTGTGCATATTCTGAGTAGGGAGTTTTCAAAGACTGCCCCTTTAAGAATTTAAACCTGTGCATTCGTTGAAGGTTGTTTCCAGCCTTGCAAATAGTTCTATTATGGGGAATTCTTATTAGATTTGTTTCTTTCTTTACCTTTTCATTCCTTGAAGGAAAGAGTGATTTTACTTTCAATATTGTGAAAATACTTTTTATTTCTTCCTTAATTAGTTGAGAAAGTACTGTGTTTCGCTCTATCCTTGTTTTTGTTCTTTCAAAGTTTTGGATTCCTTGAATAAGTATAGCAAGATAGGGAAACAGGGGGGTCGAAGGAATAGTTTGTTCCTACAGTATGATAATTTGGCTTTAGATGCTCTATGATGCGACTTTGGCACTGAAGTTGACTTCTTTTTTATTTCAGTTCAATGCTCGGAGTGAATCGTTGCGGGAGAAGGCGTCCTTTCGCCGCCTCATTCCAAACAATCGATGCTTGGTTACTTTTGAAGGGTACGGTTTCAAGCTATAATGGTGTCAATCGGATGTGCCTTTCCTCTTTGTGATCTGTTTAGAGTTAATAGTTTTGATGCCTTGCTTGGAAGTAGCTCTTGAAGCTCTGACTAAACGTGGATTGTCGTTACAGATTCTACGAGTGGAAAAAAGATGGTTCAAAAAAGCAACCATACTACATATATTTCAAGGATGGCCGTCCCCTGGTATTCGCTGCTCTCTTTGACTCTTGGAAAAATGCAGAAGGTAAACTTGGAGTTGCGTCCTTATACATGTTTTCCCCTGAATACCTTAAAACTCAGTTCACGTCTTGCTGTAGTTTTCTTGCATCCTTTGTTCATGTCTTTCTGTATTGCTAGGTTTCCCTTCTGTGACTGTTACCTGATTGCATTTTTAGATACTCCCTCTATCCCAAAATGATTGTCCTATTTGTTGTATTAAAATAGTACAAACAGGACAATTATTTTGTGACGGAGGGAGTAATTTATTTGTGCTCTACTCTTTCTGAATATTTGGTTGAAGTTGAACCCTTTCCCATGCAGGAGAAATCATCTACACCTTCACTATTGTCACAACTTCGTCATCATCCACACTGGAATGGCTTCATGGTGAGAAACTCTGTGTATTTGCCTGCAGTTTCTCTTCCATTGACGGGTTTCAAACATTATTTAGCTTGGGCTTTTAGGAGTTCCGCACTTCTATGCATCTTTTGATGGGCATTTTGTACAATGCATTTTATCAGATATTGCCTATATGAACATTTTTGCTAGAGCTAATCTTATTAATTCTACATTTGGTTAACAATGAAATACACATTTGCAGAACTGCCCCAGCATATAGAACTGTATGCATTCTTATTAAAAAAAAAACACCAGACATAGGATTACATGACTAGTGCTAGTTATTTTGTGTTGTATATTCTGCCTCCATCTTCAGATTTGCTGTCAATAATTTGGTCCTGGTGGTTGTAGACAGGATGCCTGTGGTTTTGAGTGACAAGGAATCAACTGACTTGTGGTTAAATGGTTCTGCATCAGCCAACTTTGATACACTTCTTAAACCATATGGAGAATCAGATTTGGTGAGAAATTATGACAATTGTTATTGCCGTTTCTTGCTCATTTGTTCTTGGATTATTCATAAGAAGTTTTTCAGGTATGGCATCCAGTAACAACTGCAATGGGTAAACCTTCTTTTGATGGCCCTGAGTGTGTTAACGAGGTACATTTTGCATTATAAAAGGAAACACTCTTGTACTAATTCTGCTGAGAATGGGGTGATTCTTTGATATTGGATTCTTCTTATCTCAGTGCCATCATTGTGATCTTGATTGTTTACTTGGGGATCTTCCAATGCAGATACAACTAAAGAGGGATGAGACCAAAACTATCTCTCAGTTTTTCGCTAAGAAAGGAGTCAACAGTCAGAAAGAGGTGAAGTCTGAAAACAGAACTATCAAGGAAGAGCCAGAGAGCTTGAAGGAAGAAACTGAAACTGAGGTGAAAGATATATTTGAACCTGAGGAGAAAAAAGAACTTGAAACTGAAGATGTAGCCAACAATCAACTGCTCGCCAGATCAAATGAAAGTGATGCTAAATCTGCAGTATCTGATGTATGTAGTGAAAGGGCCACAAAGCTTCCAGCAAAGCGAGAATATGAAGTATCCTCAGATGACAAGACACATTCAGATAATGCAAATGAAAAGCTACATGGAAGCCCAGTGAAAAAGAAAAGCAGAGGCGTCAATGACGATCACGATACAATGGTGAATCCAGGAGAACATACTAAGAAAATGTCTCCTGGCAAACCTTCGAAACCTGCTGCAGGTTTGGGGAGAAAGAAAGCTCCCAGTTCTGGTGACAAACAACCAACACTCTTCTCTTACTTCGGAAAAGGGTAAAGCAGATGAAACACTCATGATCCGGCACACTTACATGCTACTGTAAACAACTGTAGACTTGTAGGTTACAAGTGACTGTTGTGAGAATTTTGGACAAGTATTGCCAAGATGAAGCTTTAAGATTGAAGCTGAAAAACCTTATCGTTTGGTGGCTTTGGCTTACTCCTCTTTAATTTGTAGGCTACGGGTTCTTTAGTATAGTTGGAAATTCTGCATTAACTTTTAACATCTTGGAACAACAGGATAGTTTCACCTAGTTGTATTTTGCTCTTGTAAAATATATCAAGTTTTACATTTGTAAAACTTAGTTACTGGCACATGTTGAAGCTATTGAGTCCTCGAGCCTTTGCTTCAAATGGACAAAAAAAGGAATCCATTTCATCAAGTGATCATACAAATTCTTTCATTTAAAGTAAGTTTTTCATCATATTTGAACAACTCAAAAGTACTACAGATCCAACAAACACAAGATGGACAAAACCAGGGCTACATAAAAGATTGAGCAGTTAGACCTTGAAGAACCAGAATTACAAATTCCGATATGCGCGAAAAGATTGAGCTGTTATACCTTCAAGAACCAGATAATAAGCTATATAAAGATAACCAAGTTACAAAATTTCACATTGAATCCCTGCATCAAAATAATCCTAATAGCCTCAAAATCCTCCCTTGCTGCTCTTCAAAATCGAGCCAAGTGTTCCCAAAACAGCAAACGCCAAAAGTGGACTAACATCCAACGTATCGAAGATTGGGGGAATTATATTGCGGAAGAGGTTCAGATAGGGATCGCAGAGGTCCCTCACAGCAGAAAATGGTTGCCTATCCCAAGGAATATTTGGGAACCAACTCAGCAAAACCCTAACCATCAAAACCCCACTGTAGATGTCCAACCACTTCGCCATTCCAGCAGCAACCACCGTGAACGGGGTATTCAACGACCCAGAGGTCTGGTCAATTGCGGCGAAAAAAGCAGGTCCGGCGGAGTTAATTACGGCTCCTTTCAACGGCAGGGCAAAGGAGACAAGTCTATTCGCAAACACCTTTGAGGCGGCGATAGCGATTGCCAGTAGCGTCGTAACAGTCCGGGTTGAACCGGTGAGTAGAGAGGGAGTAGGGCTATTGACATCGGCGGCGATAATAGGAGAGGAAGCTCTAACAGGAGTTAAACTCAAATGGTTCCGGCGGCACAACGACCGGGAAAGGGAAGGCTTCGAGATTGATCGGGAGGACAATAGGCTGGGCTTGAATGAGACGGCGGAGGTGGGCTTGGGGATCCGGCGGAGGGCGGTGGCCCTGGGTTGACTGATACAGAAGGCAGGGTTTTGGAGGATTAGGGTTTGAGTGGCCATGATTGGAAGAAAATGACCACCCACACTGGTTGCAGCACAAATTTGTAAGATGTAATTAATCCACACCCAAATCGGTCTTTTTTGCTATGAAACTCAAACCGGTTGGCCAAACCAAATTGCCGTCAGATGATTCTAGAATATGTAAATTTTTAAACCACCTCAATATTTCGTTTAAATTACTTTTAGTCCCCATCAAAATAAGATTTTGATTTTCAATTTAGTCCATATTTTCTCGAAGAAATACATATTCTTTTTGTCTCATAAAAATAATCCTCATTTATAAATTGTAAATTACACTATGAACTAGTTATTTCTATATCAGATGTTTCGCATTTATAACTTTTGTTTTGTTATTTTGATCTTGATTTCTTTTTCTTTTCTTTTTTTTTTACATTGTCGCGATAAAACTTATCAATTGTTTTCAAAAATTTTCTCCATTTTGAATATTCATATACGATGGTCGATGAACGAGGGTAGATTCATCATTTTAAAATATGACCATCTATCTTGTTAGCGGGCTCCCTCTTGTTGTTGGTTCTATTAAGATCTTGATAGAAGTAGAGAGTATATAAAGTTTGAAAAGCAACAAATTGTATCTAATGATAGTCGACTAAAAACATATATAGCATGATGAATAATGATATTCATACATTATATCCATCACTCACGATTTATGTAATCGGATCCTACTTAACTTTACTGTATCTTTTTTTTTTTTTTGGGTACAACTTTAGTGTATCTTTTAAATAGGACCAGAGAGTATAATACAATAATCACATATATTGTTAAAATTCAAACTTGGTCTGGGAGTAAGTAAAACGAACTATGCAAATGGTTCGGAAAAATCCTAAGATATTAATGGCATTTACAGTCACAATTCACAGTACATTTGAAAGAAAAAGAAGAAGAACTCGTGTACCTTTGACTGTACATGTTTATTGACAATCGTAATTAAGAAGAAGAAACAAGAAATGGATTAACATCAAACGGGTGAAAAATGATGATGAATTTATCTAACACAAGGGAAATATATGGGGACGAAGGAAAGGTAAAGACCAAAAATAGCCATCAACAATCCGGCCTTTAGAAGCCACCTCCATGATTAGCTTATGCAACGCCCGAAATGGGCATAAAACCACCCTCCAATGCACCACTTTTGAACCCAGGCTGAACCCTCTACGCTTATTCCCCAGCCGGACGCTGCTGCCCTTTCGCCTACGCGACCGGCGCCGTGACCGGCACCACCCCAGCACCACCGTCGTGTTGGGAAGCATAGAAACGGTTATGCCACCTCTCCTTACCATTCTGTTGATTTTCGACTTCTTCTTTTGGCTAAAGTTATGTAACAAAACTTTTGTTAGCTGTGAGACTTATATAAGGAGAATCAATGTACCAGTAGGCATTAATTTAGTGTTAATTGGCTAGCTAGTTTACTTTTTCTTTTTCTAATGCATTTGTCCCAAATGGTTTGATAACTTGCTATATATACCTTTGATAAATTTGTTTCGGATCAGTGTAAATTAATAAAAAAAGAAAGGTAAGACCAACTAACCAGGTACTAAAACATAGTAATACTATTATCTAACACATTTGTCACGTATTAATAGTATTATCGAGATAATTTTGTTTCATCGAGACAAAAATGTAAACAATTCAAGTCTTTACAAACAAAATGTTATTATTATTTTACTAATAAGACACGACTGATACATAATAAAATGATATCCATAGATAAATTTGGTGCCCGCACAGACAGAGAACGATCAGATTGGGACCAGTAATTTGTAAAGCTTGGTTCATCAATTGTCAATTTATGATCATTCATTATGATTGTAATTATACCTATCATAGTCTTTCCGCGGCGACGTTAATGGAGATTAAAGAAATGGTTCAAAAGAAGGTACTGTATCACTTTGCCGGCGATTGGGTTGTGGGTGTAATGATTAGATATATCGATGCTTTTGGTTAAAACTTAAAAAAAGATTAATTGGGAGAGAATCATAATAGTGATTATACACGAGCGGTTGCTTAATTGAAATGCATATTAGAGGTGGAGATGACCCCTTAGAACTCCATGTAAGACTTTGTTTACTTCATAAAGGAACTTGTGGCCCTTCATGTATTTACAAGCAAAGTTCAGGATTTTTAATGAGTGAATTTTGTGCCTTTGCAATCACATTTGGGTTGTAAGTTGTACCTTAATTTATGCTGCCAACTAACCACATTTTTACATTGTTATAGGATATACCAATTCTCTAATGACTAATCTATCCCAAGGTTTTGATTTGTGCAACACCTTTTTTTTAAAAAAAAAATCTATATAAATTGTGTTGCACCTTTAATTCATAGATAGGGCCACTTTTAATCAATCGAAGAGGAATTCTGTTAACAAAAGAATAATTGATAAGAAACAACTTGCAAGATTTTGGAGATGCCTGCATTGCTGAAACTCCATACTAGTACTAGTATCATGCCATTTCAAGTTGCATTTCAAATTGGTTGAAATCAGGCAAATTCATGTAATGGAATTGCTTTTCATCTCAGCCGACTAATAAAACAAAGGATTACAAAAGATTACCAATTTCGTGGAGATTCCAAAGAGACTAACATCTTAATTAATCTGATGCTAAAACTATCAGCTTCCAAAACAACAAAATTGCCCATCTTCATTGGCTAATGAAACAGCCCAAATCAAGTTATCCAAAACATTATTCATTCCGTCATTCTTAAAGCTGGAAAAACTTTAACCTATTCAGGAGTAGAGAAAAAGCAATTCCATCTCCATTTATTTCTTGTTGCTTTGATGGCTACTTCTTCAGTTCTCAGAGCCACCGTCTTCAGTGACGTTGTTGTTCTTATTGGAAGAACTTATGGTGGGATTAATCGGGTATTTGATAGCATTAAGCTCCACTTTCCTAAGAGCAGCTTTCCCAAGATCAACTCCGCACATGTCTGAAAGTCGTACGAGGTAAAGCAGAACATCGGAAAGCTCTTCTCCCAGGTGTTGTTTCTCTTCTTCCTTCCAGTCAGGAAGGCCTTTTGGAACCTCCCCTTTCCATTGGAATATCTCTGAAAGTTCCCCAACTTCACCAACCTGGGCAAAAATCATGACGAAATAAAAGTAAATGATTCAGTTACCTCTGCCCTGATTTCTTGCTCTGTTTTTCTTTTCTGGTTAATCAGTAACCCAAAAAAAAAAAAAAAAAAAAAACTCAAAAAGCGTATTAAAGGTGGTTGATTCTGCGTTATCATGCCGTTGATTAAAAAACTCTGTAGGAAAAGCTGACGGCTAGAAAATCTTTCTCCAGAAAATCATTTTTAAGAAAATGAAGACTAAAATTTTCGACTCTGTTCTGAATTGTCTGCTCATCCCATATCCTTTTATCCTAAAAATTAGGCAAAACAACTTATACTTGACAGTACGATGAAATTCTTACAGAACTGATGGTAAATGATTCATGGGTTTTCACAGTCATCTATTAAAATGAACCCAAAAATCATGGGTTTTCTGGTAACAGTATAACAGGGCAAATCATAAGATAGAAGAAGAACAATTACCAAAGCCAAGAGAAGATTCCTGGGGCTGTGAAAACGCTCCCAATCTCGTTCCTTGGCAAAGTCATCCATTTTTTTCTTGAGAAGATCAAGGGTCACTTGCTCTTCTTTCCCAATTTCAATACCCCCTGTCATTTTTCCCTCAGAAATTCAAGGAGAAGTAGTGAAAGATTTCGAGGCTGCAGAAGGAATTGGAGGGAGACTGCTACCAAAATGTACTACACGTTTGGTCAACTTTTATAAGCAAGAAGATTTCTGTTAATTTGGTAACAGTTTCATTGCCATTGATGGGGGTATATGCCAAAATAGACATAAAAATATATATATATATATATATAGACATAAATTGTTTTTTAGTCAGGATTTTAAGGATAATGATTATTCATTTGTGTTGATAAATGCGGCCAGTCTAACAATAAAAGGCAAATATTTTCCCGTTCTTTCATTGCAGGGATGATTTTTGGTGAATTAATAGAAGTATATAGTGATTTTGGGGCGAGTGTGCAACATATTTTAAAAGCTCCAATAAATTTTATTTATTTATTTATTTTTATAAAAGAACAAATCTATTTGACATGACATAGTAAGTGATATATAACATCCAAAACACAGTGATAAATCACAAATTATGTCACTTTTGGAGTTTTGGTCCTCTTTTTAAATTTTTATCTTAATGTAGTTAATATATTACATAAACAAACATAAGTGTTACTAACTTTTAAACCAGATTTTTGTTTTGTACTGTAACAAATGTATCTCTTGTTTCTGATTTCTCTAAGTGTTAAAATCATGGCATCTGTTGTGACTTGAGAAAAAAAAGAAAGGTTCATTGATTTTCTAATATATTACTCCCCATGTCTCAGAAAAATAGTCCACATTAAGTTTTAAAATGTGTATTAAAAATAATACAAATTTCAAAACTTAATGTAGACTATTTTTTTAGAACAAGGTAGTATTACATATGAGACGATCAAATTTTTTTTAAGAACATTGTGATGGACTCAAACCTTAGAAATTTCTGCAACTGTTATATGCAGTTACAAGTATATGTACCATATTTTCTAACAATTAGCCCCATATAGAAAGTCATACCGAACTTGATAAAAATTGGTACAAGTTAAAAGAATAATTAAAAAATAAATAAAAGTATTTGGTGGAGAAAAATATCAAAAGATACTTCTCAATCTGATATTCTGATACTTCACGTTCGGATAGCATTTCAATCAGGCAATCTGTTGAATATATGCCTGAGGTTTGTTTAAAAGCTCTGAAATGCCCGGCAACAAGCAACATGTAAGTCGTTTTTTACAGTGAGTGTCACAAGAAAATATCACGGAGAATCATGTGCCTAAATATTACCGTAAAATTCTTAAAGTAATAGTATTTATTTCTTTCTAAAATAATTATCTCCATTTATACAAATAGCATTATTATTTTTGGATGGAAGAATAGATGTCAAGTCAAAGATTCTTAGGGATCAGAAAGTTTTTTCTTCACTATTTCACATGTTCACTCAAGCAACCCAATCCCGAAACATGGTACGAACAGCAATTAGAATTTGGAATTGGAATCCAAAGGGATACGTGTTTGGCATTCGGTCTCACTACGTTTCTTGTCACCAGTTTTGCTCCAAAATAATACCAAAATATTTGGCACGCCAAGCTGGGTAGGCCATTTCTGTTTCAAGAATCAGTCTTTTTCCAGGCTCCTGAATTATTTGATACATTCGTTTGTTATCCTTTTTTCCCCCCCAAGATTTAGCCTTAGAATTTGCTAAGCTATCTTTATAAGATACAGAGCAAAACAGAGTTTTCCAACTGCTTTTTCTAAATGATTCCATCTTGGAATTCATGAAGATGTAGTAGTATTCTGTACTTGAAACTACCAAAAAAACATAAACCTTGGAAAGACAATCTTATATATCATTCATTGTTTTTCATTCACAAACAGTAATTTCATTTTGGGAATGAACATATCGTAAGTTTACCCATTGTCTTCTCTTTTTCTTCATCATGCAACTACATCCTCTCACTGATTATATCTCTAATCAAAAGTACAAGAAAATTGAGTAAAAAAAATGGACCAAACTGAGTGATTACAAAGATACAAAAATCTCATCTAAAACTAACTCCAGATGCCAGAATCCAGCAGACTATATTAACAGACCGATTGCAAAATGTGGATTTTGAACATTGAACTTTCAATTCTCAGGTGATTGCTCATTTGCTCTGGATAAATTTCCACACAATTGAACCAAAATTCCAACCTCAAACTTAAAGGGTGGCTGTAACTCTACAAATTTTTTACCTATGGCAGACACATTTGTAGTGATATGCACTGTGGATTGGGTCATTCCCTTCAACCGGAACTTGCTCTGCTCTACACTTGTATTTGCATCCCCTGCATTCGTTGTATGTGCAAGTTGGAGCCACCGACCCAATCATCAGTCTCTTCGAATCCTTGTTGCCACTATTCTACGCATTCACAATACAGATATAAAAAAATTTAGCACATAACTCAATGAAAAACACAAGTATTCGACAAAACAGGACGCTTATTTTGGGACGAATGGAATATCTTTATCGTACCTGAAACTGTAATTCACCTCCCGAAGTAGAATGTGCCATTCTCGAACTTCTAGACCCTGCAAATTGTACAACGTGTAAGTACTTCACATCATTAGGAAAGTGAACACTGATGAAATTGAAATTTGAGAATGACCTTGTACAAAAGCTGCTGCACTGAGTAAAAAAATAACCAAAAGGAGAAACTGCAACAAGGGATGTTTGCTGTTGGCCATTTTTTTCATGTTTGCCAGCTTTTCTTACTGAGAAGAAGAAAAAACTTTATAGGTTTTTTAGAATTTATAGATAGGATTGGCTGAGAGAACTGAGAAAGAGATATGGAAGGTTGGGTTTTGAGAGGGTTGGGGGTTGTGGTTGAATATTGACCATAAGAGATAGACTGGCTTAATCATCTTCTGTACCAAAAAAGAGTGTGCATGCAACAACAAACAAAAGGGGAGGGAGAGAGGTCCCCTACCACACTGACATTTTTCATACTATCTTGGGCCAACGGTTCCTTATGGTGTGTTTTTACTACAATGTGGTGGCTTTTCTGCCTCCAAATTTACCTTACCCTTAATGTCAAAAAACATATCTTTTTGGTAATTCTTAAGGATTTAAGTTGTAGTTTGAAAGAGGGTTTCGAGAGAAATTGTAATCGTGAGATTATATGTTCGAACTTTGGGTTGAATCGTAATCACGAGATTATAAGTTTGAACTTAAATTGTAATCGCGAAATTATAGGTTCAAACTCTAGGTTGAATTGTAATCGCGAGATTATAAGTTCGAACACAGAGTTGAATTGTAATCACGAGATTATAGGTTGGAGGACATAGTTAAGGAGATAGAAATCATCCCCACCAAGCATGCAGCAGCAATAGTAAAAAGTTCAGTAAGGCCTCCAGGCAAACTATAATATGCATCTTTGTCCTGTCTGTATTTTCATTGAAAACTCATTGGAAGAATGTGGAAACTACTGGCTTTCAGCTAAAAGACAGAAATTTTTGAACTGTAATCTGCAATAATATCTCCCACATATGGTCACCCTCACACACACCCCAGAAGAAGTTGTTGGATTTGTAATCCTTTACCCTTGACTCAATTGAAAAAAGAAACGAACTGATACTATGAACTCAAAAAGGGGATAATTTCATTCCAATTTGGTATGTCTTTCTTCTTAGAACAGGGCACCAAATGGACACCCCAAAAGCATGCTTCATAACTCATCATTGTTATTTCGAATCTTTCTCTTTGGCCTATTTTCTGTTTTTTTTCCTCTTTCGTTTTGAGGGTGGTCCTCTGGCTTGCAGCTAGTTTTGGAATTGATCCTATTTTGATATGGGCATGGACAACAGGATATCATCACAGATTCACAGGCTAAAGATATCATCTTATTTGAGAGATTAGGCTTTTATTAAAATATTTCAGATACTATCTATATGTGTAGGCTCAAAATTGCAATTCAAATTCAATGAATGTCACTGTATCATATTTGCATGGTTTGGTTTGGCAACGACAGAATGAATAAAGAAAAGCATTCAAGAGTTGTTATTAACATAACATCTGTAAAATAATATCCGTGAGACTGTTTGTAAATTTAATAGTACTATCTCCGGTCCTTAATATGTCTTAGATTTCATTTAGTAAGCATTTTTAGTTGATAAAAGAAATTTAAAAAATCTTTCTTAACATTCAAGAGAGCACAACGAATGTGAAAATATATTTTTAAGATTTTTTTTTCAATTAAAAATACATTCTACTCGAAATCTAGGATAAAATAAAGATTTTAAGGACAGGAGGGAGTAGTATGTTTTCGGTTTTAACTAATTCAAAGTTTTTACCTCTACTATTTACTCTTAGAGCTTATATACTAATCACTATTTTTTCATGCCTACCCTACAAACAGTAGTAATTTTTTTCAACAATATCATTATAGAAAGATGGTTGCGGCCTGGACTTCGAACATTATTAAAAACTCTGAAGCTAAAAAATTAAAACCAATTGTGAATGAACAAAAAAAGATGGCGACAGAGAATGAATTATTAAAAAACCCACTCCTAAAATTAAAATTAAGGACTTATTTTTTCTGAAACGACGGTTTGAATTTTATGAATCTCTAAGTTTTTTTTTTTTTTTTGAAAGATGAATCGCTAAGTATGCATGTATCCTTTTATTATATCTATGTTTATGAAGTCTTAGAAATTAATCATATTTCCAATAACAATATCATCATAGATATACCTTACTGTATGTTTCCAAAATTTTGATAGAAAGTGGACGAAAAATAATTTTTTTTCTTCGTAAATAACAAATTTAATTTTTTCAAGTGATAGTAATATTGTAAAATTGAAATTTGTTTTGAAAGAATATTAATTTTTTGGGTAATACTAACAACTTTGATGATATTGTGGAAAAATTAAGAAATAAATAAAATTGCGAAAACCCGTTGGAAAAGCCGAAGAGGGAAATTAAACTCCCGCGAAATTCCCAATCTTTGAAGAATACCAAAACCTTGCCTCCTTTCTTAGCTTTCCCACTGTTGATTGTTTCTCTACGAAATCATTCAGATCGGAAGAAGATGGCAACACCCAGAAACAATCCCTTTCCTTCCCCAACAAATTTCCGGCCGCCCTCTTCTTTCATCTTCCTAACCCTCCTTCCAATGGCTTCTCAAGGAAAGTATCCATCTTTCCCTTCTTCTTCTTCCTCTGCATCATCATCTCCATATATAACCCCTCGTTTCCATCTAATTTCATCATTACAAACTAAATCAGAAAGAAAAAAAAATCCACTACCAATTCAATCGCAAGACTCACATTCAAACTCTTTAATTTCCACTTTTCGGATTCAGATCGTACCATATTATGGATTCAGAACAAGCCCAGAAGGAAATTCAAGTCCCCTTTTCAAAGTACTCGAAAAGGGTCATCTTGAAAGATATAGTTGGCCGGAGTGACGGCGGGGTTGGCTTGATTGGTCAGAGGGTTCTCGTCGGAGGATGGGTCAAGTCTTCCAGGGAGATTAAAAAGGACCTTCCTCCTTCTTCTCCGTCTCCGAATACAACTCCCGATGCTGTTGGACCTAAAGATGTGAGGTGTGTGGAATACTTTCAATCTGTCCCTTTTCTTAAGTCTATTGTGAAGGTTTTGGGCGGAGGAGATCATCGGAGTCGTAGCAAGTTGGATTCCCTGACTCCCAAACGGGTCAAACCGCCGCAGCCCACGATTTCACTTCTGCAAATTACAGATGGATCTTGTATTCCCACTCTTCAGGTATATCCAGCTTTTGTTTTCTTGGAATTTCAAATTCCAGGCAAATTTTAAGCTTAAAACAAAAAAAGAAGCATACTTTTATTGGGATTTTGTTCAGGATGATTGCATTAGGCCTTATTTGTTGTTGTCTATGGTGAAACCTCAGGTTTCGGTGGATTCAGCTTTAGCTTTACCTAGCCTAGTTATGCCTACTGGAGCTTGCATTCTTGCAGAAGGTGTATTACAGCAGCCATCTATTCAGGGGAAACAAGTTCTTGAGCTCAAGGTGGAAAAAGTCCTACATGTTGGGGGAGTGGATGAGGACAAGTATCCTTTATCTAAGAAACGTTTGCCTCTGGAAATGTTAAGAGATCGTCCCCATTTTCGCCCTCGGACAACAACAGTAAGGCCTTTCCTTTTCTTTTTGTTTAGATGATCTATGAGATGTAGCAACTGAATCATGAGAAAAAGTGATATGAAGTTAATCATAGGATCTATTCTTTCTTTAGATCATTGAAAATATGTCTGAGAACTTAGGGCCTCTTTCTATCCCTCTTCTATATTGTCTGAGCAATGTTCTTCAACATCTTTCAGGTTGCATCTGTGACAAGAATAAACAGTGCCCTTACTCAAGCAAGTCATGTCTTTTGTCAAAATCATGGATTTGTTTATGTGCAAGTGCCCATAATTACTCACATGGATATGGAAGGTTCTGACAAGATGTTTCAAGTTACGACTCTTTTGAACAGTCAAGAAACGCGAGGTCAAAATCCTGCTGATAATGTTGCTGGTGTTAGCCTTGAAACCATCAAAGCTTCACTTAAGGAAAAAAGCAATCGGGTTGAAGAACTCAAGAGAAGCGAAAGCAATAAAGAAGCTGCAGCTGCAGCCATCCAGGATTTGAGGAAAACAACTGAGCTTGTGGCACAGTTAGAAGCAAGAGAAAAAGCTAAATCTGGTCATTCTTTCAAAGCCAAGAAACTTAATTTCTCTGATGATTTCTTCTCTAAACCAGCGTACCTTACAGTATCTGGTCGTCTTCATCTGGAAAGCTATGCTTGTGCCCTTGGAAATGTTTACTCGTTTGGACCTAGATTTCGAGCTGAACAATCACAGTCAAGGAGATCATTAGCTGAGATGTGGATGCTTGAGATTGAAATGGCATTCTCTGAACTTGAAGTATGAGTCCTTCCCTTTTCTCAAAATTAATTGTCTTGATCCAAAGTCTTCATCATTTTGGCATGATTAACTTTTCCCTTCAGGATGCTCCTTTGCACCTGCTTTGAAAAGTTTCTGGCTCCCTATGCTAATAAATAGTTTGAAATTTGAATCTTTGTTCTCCTTGGTATATTTAGGATGCAATGGATTGCGCAAGTGATTTCTTGAAATTTATATGTAAATGGATCGTGGACAACTGCAATGACGACCTCAAATTCGTGACAAAGCGAATTGATAAAACTGTTGAAGATCGCCTTAAGTTAATGGTTTCAGGTTCGCTTGAAAAGATATCCTATGCAGATGCAGTGGAGGTCTTGAAACGGGTAATTTGTGCTACCTCTTCTCTAGAGATTGTTTATTACTCTGAATCAATCTACTCTATGACTGTCTTATGCTGCATTAATTATCTGATGCAGGTTACTCAAAAGAAATTTGAAGTCAAAGTAGAATATGGTGTTTCTTTGACTGAAGAACATGAAAGGTAGTTTACCTACTAGTCGCATACTGCTGGCTGTACATATATATATTGTGTCATAAGATTTCAGTTGGGATAACCTCTCACCCATTTTCTATTTCTTGTAGCTATCTTGCAGATGTGGTGTATGAAAAACCAGTTATCGTGTACAACCAACCAAAAGCACTCAAGCCATTCAATGTGCGCCTAAATGACGACGGAAAAACAGTTTCTTCATTCGATGTAATTTTACCTAAGGTGAGATCAAGTATACGCCCTTTGGATGATACAACTATCTGCGGGATGCAATTGAACTACTTCTATAAGATATACGCACTTTGAGTTGTCTTCTGAGTCAATTTACGAGTGCTTTTTTGTCCAGGTTGGAGCTGTGATACGAGGAAGCCAAAATGAGGAACGTCTCAATGTGTTAAGCAATAGGTGAAAAGTCTTCTCATATTTTAGCCAAAATATCCCACATCTAGTCTGTTGTCGGCGCATAAGCCTATCTGGTTTTATGTGCCTCCTAAACTTGTTTATTTTGTTTTATCACACCAATAGCAAGGAAATTTTACTTTCCTCTTTGTGAACTCTCTTGCTACATTTGTTAGGATGAAAGAAGTTGGCTTGACGAAGCAGGAATGTGAATGGTACTTGGATATTCGAAGGCATGGAACTGCCAGAACTTCAGGCTTCAGCGTGGCGCTCGACTCCCTAGTTCTTTACGCAACTGGACTCAATGATATCAAAGACGCTGTTCCCTTCCCGAGAAGTTATGGGAAAGCGTACAACTAAAACTTCCTAGCTGATAAGCACTTTTTCCTTATCAAATGCTGTGGAGAATGATTGTACACCTTTGTTTGCATCGCAATGAGGTCATGCTTAACTTGATGACTCAACAAAGCAAGATAATGTAAATAAAATGTTAGAAACTCAAAGAATAATTGCCTGTATAATCCCTGTATAGTAGCAGTGAACCCATACTTTTTTATTGATTGTAAAATACATTGATGTATATGTATGAAGTTTGAAACAGCAACGACGATTACAATGCAGATTGTGTTTTTTTCATCTGCTTCTTCTTTATTGTGACTATTGTTTCAGAGGATTTGAAATACATATATATATATATATATATATATATTGTAGCTTTGACCAGATGCTGTCATGAATCAGAAGCTAGTCTTAGAATGGAGCGATTTCGTAGCGCAGAATGCAGCTGGAGTATTGAAGGCGACATCCTACGGATTTCAGATTATTGCAGAGGTTGGAAAGGTTGGCAACACCAGTTTTCAGACAACTCGTGCAAGAACTGAGAGACAAGTCCTGAGTGCACTGAACCAAGCCGTAAAGGGTAACAGAAGACGATACTCCAAGAGTTCCTTTCGCGAACCCTTTGTTCCCCGGCACAACAGCTTGTGAAGTGAGGTTACTGATCAGACTGGTGACTTGTTTCTTGAAGAGAGATGGGCTTTGGGGATGATCACTGTTGTACAAGTTGGAAACAACAGAGGTATCGACTTTTCCAAAGAAATTCTGGTCCAAATACCTTAGGAAACAGTTATCATACCATCTCCTTTGATCAGTACTATTAATAACAGGATCAAATCCGCATTGGGTTTTGATGGAGCTTGCTGCATCATTGATGCAGGTGGAGCAATCTGATCTGCTCACATCTTGTCTGCACTGCCCCAGCCCATAGACGGCGTCACTACCCGAGCCATAGCTCGCGATGGCGAAACCATTTTGAGCCGTGTTTGTTGCTAGTCCAGCCAGCAAGTTGTCGATATTTGCTGACATTTGAGGACTCTTAATGGTGGAATTTTCATTACAGTAGGAAGTGATAACATCTGCAAATACTGCAGTGAAGCAGCAGCAGAGGAATAGCAAGAAAACAAGGCGGAATGAAGCCATGATGATTAGCAAAGACAAAATGACAAAATTGCTATTTTGTTTTGCTCTGCATTTTGTTGAAGGAAGGCTTTCCAATTTATAGCAATCAGAAACGGGTAAGAAGCATAACTGGAGAGCGTATTTTCCTGACTTTTTGTTGGACATTAAACGTGTTTTTTAAAAAAATTAATTTCGTTTCTGGTTCCCTTTGAACGTTGACTTAGTATAATTCTCTGACAAATACTGATTCCAAGTGGATTGCTTATCATTCACAACTGGATCTGGATGGGTGCAACTAAGAAAATACATTCTGGGCTGGGTTTAATCTGGGAATGATGCGTGTTATATAACTGGGTTTTGGTCATACACTTAGTCTTAATTTAACACCAGATAATCAGAAATAAACGCAAGAAGCAGGAAAAATTTGGAGGTGATCACTTTCATCGCAGTCAACAAAATTGATTGATGAAGATGGTCAAAATTACAGAAAAATAGCAGCAGTTTTTCGTGAATTGCAAGCAACTTTATTGATTATTCTTCTCCAACTAAACAGTAGAGAGGGATCAGGTGATTCCAGACAATGGAACTCAAACATCATACATATGAGTGATAAGACTACATTTTGAGATAGAAACTAATCCTCTGCCCTTTTACTAAAAGGTGCATAAATGAGTTGAGTTTCCAACAAACATTTAGTCCTTTGGCATTATTTTAAGGTATCTGAAATTCTGAACTGTATATGAATTTGATAGATTAAAACGGATCGGTATCATAGCGAAGATAGCAGCCGCCATATTGAACCCGACATCCTACGGTTTTCTGCTTCCTGCAGAGTTTGTCGAAGTTAGCAAACCCTGTTTTCAGACAGGTCTGGCAAGAACTGGTAGATAAGTCCTGAGTGCACTGAGCAATCCCATAAATATCCACAGAAGAAGACACTGCAGTACTCCCTTTCATAAATCCTTTGTTTTGCGGCATAACAGCAAATGAAATGACAAAATTCATCAGGGTCTCAAGTTGTACCCTGAAGAAATCCTGATCTCTGGGCTTGATAGAAGAGTAGAAGTTCATCACCACAGACGGATCAAATATTCCGAAGAATTTCTGATCCGAATACCTCAAAAGGCAATTATCGTAATAAATCCTTTCATCGGTGCCATTATTTTCGTAATAGCAACTCTGACGAATGTAGCTGGCCGCATCGTGAATGCAGGTGGAACAAGCAGAAGAATTTATGTCCTTTCTGCATTGTCCCAACCCGTAAACTGTGTCTTTACCTTGGCCATAAGTGGCAATGCTGAACCCATCATTTTTAGCCGTGTTTTTGGCTAGTTGACGCAAAACAACATCTATGTTTGCTGACATTTGAGCGCTTGCAATTGTTGTATTATCACTACAGTAGGAAGTGATGAGCTCTGCAAATGCCGCAGAACAGAAGCAGAGTAAGAGCAAGAACACAAGTCGAAACGAAGCCATTGATGATTAAATGAGTATGAAATTGCTACTAAACTTGCAATTTCTTGATGGAATTGGAGGAAAGCTACCCTTTTTTATAGCATTCAGATTAAAAAAAAACTCGTAAAAGAAGGTTGATCATTGAGGAGAGCAGTATTTCGTTGACATGCCAGTCAAAAGGTGCGATGTCGGCTGTGTCCCAATCTTATCTACAAATTAAAAGCACGAAAAAGACTTCTGGTCCAAGTGTGAGGGGTTTTTTTGTGTACTGTGTTTTCATGGTTCTTCGTCAACCGACATACAGTGAGCCCGGCACTCAGTTTCTAGGAAATCCAGCGAAAATGGAATCGTTGTAGATTTGCATTTATTTATTTTTTAATATAGCACAGAAGTCACCCAAGACACAACAGTGTGTCTGTTCTTTGAATTACAAGCAACTAGAAGGGTGATGGATGAGACAAGTAGTCGAACGATTCAAGTATGTTCCATTCCCATGGCCGATTTAGCAGTGGAAAATGTATAGCAATTCTTACTGAAAAGATATCGAGTTTATCGCCCAAGCTCAAAAATTGTTTTTGGTCCATAGTTATCGGAGGCTGTATTGGATATCATATTTTAAGAACCCGTTTATGACACCAGTTTACTTGGTGCCTGTGTGGAATTGATAAATGTATAATTCCACAAGGTCCTGGGTTCGAAATTGGTCAGGACAAATTTAATGAGGTATTCTACAATAACCTTTTTTTAAAAATCTTTTTTTTTTAATATTTTTTTGAAAAAACAATAGAAAATGCATTGACCAAGATACAATAGAACTTCTATAAATTAATAGTGTTGGGACCACCAAAATTTATTAATTTAGTGAATTATTAAATAATCGATAAATTAATAAATTATTAATTTAAAGAATTTGTGTGAGAAAAAATAAGTGTCACTAAATTCTTTAATTTGCAATTGTTTTTACATCTGAATCAATCGAGTATTAAAATTATTCCGAACAATAAAAAATCCATACATAAATAGTTCATATCATCTTCAGGGACTAAAAATAAGTATTAATAATTAATATTTTACTAAATATTTATAATAATTATTATTATTTTTTGTTTTTAGGGTATTTATTAATTTCTGGTATTATTGGGACCTATAGATATATAAGAGATTTCCTAAATATTATTATCTTATCATTTTTTCGATTTTTTTTTACTGATCCCAAGTTGGGACCAGAGAAAATTATTAATTGTTAAAAGTTATTAATTTATAAATTATTAATTTACTGACGTTCTACTGTATTTGTGGTCTTTCTTTTGGAAAAATAATACTCTCAAAAAACTATTGTTAGACTCACCTTTTATAAATGGAAAAAGTGCCTCCAGAGCAAGAACCTTTTTTATAGATAAAAACGTGTTTGGATTAGAATTGTGCAGAAGTAATTTTAGTATAGATATAAAAATTAATCAGCAAAGGATTATAAATTTTCTGTGTAATTTGTTTCCATTTTTTTCTACTTTGATGATTGTTGAAACTTAGGCCCCCCAAAAAAAAAAACAAAGGAGTGACTGAGTAAGATTAATTATTGACATGCATGTCTCGAAATCTGCTGGAACAATATAAGACATAGTATCTTGCCCTTTCCCTTCATAAACTTCTCAAATACCTCCCAGTACAAATTATACAATATCTAACTATATACTAAGGGGGAATCCCAGATTTTGGCTCCGTTTTTTTTGGGTTCTCGGTCACTTGTGGACACATTGCACCAGCCAATAAGACTGCCTGTATTAGACACGTTGTCCACGAGCTTTCTAATTCTTCACTTTCCCGTTGTATAGAAGCCTATGAAGTTCCACCTCAAAATCAATTGGCGATGAGGAGAAAATCAATTGACGATGAGGAGAGTAGCCCATGGTACTTATATACTGAGACACATATACCAATGTGGGATAAATACTTCAATACTCCCCCTCAAGCCCAACGAGATTGACTAAATCACCATAATCATGAAATAAACCATGGAATAACATCACGGATCACGGAATAACGTCGCAAACTTTAATTGGGCCACGGAATAACATCATGGACTTTAAAATCAACATAGGCCAAGCCCGCTCTAATATCATATAGAAGCCTATGGGGTTCCACCTCAAAACCAATTGGCGATGAGGGGAGTAGTCCATGTTACTTACTGATACACATATACCAATGTGGGATAAATATTTCAATACGTTGCCGGTCCACTTTCTTCTTTATGCCCGTTTCTCCATTTTCAATCTTCCCAATCTTCCTCTGTCATTCTTCCAGCAGCCCGTTTCTTCTGTTCCAAAATCCCTCGTTGCAATAACCGACCAATCCAGAGAGGTTTTGAATCATCGAAAGTAGTTTTCTGGGTTCTTTTGGTCATGCTGGCGGCGAAGATGAAAAATGAGGCAGACCACAGCCAATAAATTGACAACTGGGCCAACTTTCTTTACATCTAAAATCTTCTTGCTGTTCCGATTCATGCCCCGTTAAGGTGCGGCCAAATAACCAGATGAGTTTAAGTTCGATTAGTTAATCTAGGATTGTATTTGGATTGTGTTTTTCCGAGTTTTAGTTCTATTGGTTCTCTGAGTTTAGTAATTTTAATTTATCAATTAATTGGATTCGGTTGGGCTTATGGTGGTGAACTGGAGATGCTTCAAATGAATGTTAACTGTTTGATTATTTGTCTGGAAGACTAAAAAGAATAGTGTGATGTTCTTCCCCAATAAAAGAGCAATTAGGTCTGTTCATTGCATAGTAGGTGTTTGATTTTATGCCTAGCTGAAATTTTCATATTTAAATCTGTTGAATTTTTTTTTTTTTTTTGGTTTCTGCCTTGGTGCAATTTCCCCAAAGTCTGTTTGAGCCAAGAATTAGTTCAATTTGTAGTGCATATTCTGAAAAACTTCAGTCAAAATGTACAGGTTCTGTGATTCTTTGGGGTATGTTAATACCAGAATAAATTCATCGCAGTTGCTACCCCAACATGAAGTTTAAGAAAACAAAATACTTGTAATCCAGAAGTTAATTACTTCTCTAATCTTCTCTATTCACTGCTAAATTGGATGCAAAAATATATTGATATCATTTATAAGAACTCTTTAGGAACAAGCATTTGGATCAAACTGAAAATCCAATAGACACACAGTAGGTTTTGTCAAGTATTTTGAAAGATATCTCAATTAAAACTTCTGTGATTCGACAGCATTGTTATATACTATGGCCGTTATTAAATCTAATTAGTATTCTTGATGTTTCCACAGCACCTATACAACTTTGTGTTACTAAAATCCCATGTCAAAATTTACTATCTCTAGACATAAAACTACAAGTAACCTGTTATTTGGGATTTTAGTTCTAGGATTACGAACTTACTATATGATTTTAGTTTTAGGAGTATGTACTTGTTGTATGGAACCTGAAATTCAATCTTTTGAAGATTTAAAGTCTGCTAATTAGATTTTTTTTTTCTTGTGCGACAATTAGTGGTAACTGTTAAACCATGCCTAGACCGTTGTAGGAACTAGCGATTGCTATAACAAACTCTTTCCACAAAGGACATGATGGACAAGCTTGAAAACAAAATGACACTTCTTTCACTTTGACATTGCAAAATTGCAAATCATAGCATTTCTTGTACAAACAAGTTAAGGCATGGTGTGACTATACGATAGGCCAAAGCCAAGAAGTCGGATCAATCTGCAGACTGGATCCTCCAAGACTCGTTATCTATATACTATACTAAGGTAAAAACCAGAGAGAGAAAACTAAAAGCATGGAGCACATGCCACATAGGATTAAATCCTATGTGGCATTTTCTTAATTTCTTAGACTTAAAAATGCACAAAACAAAATAATAAAACAAAAAAAAGCAACTAAAATAATTTAAAAAAAACAAAATAATAAAAACCGAACCCTTATTTTCATGAACCAAATCCTAACACAGAGATTGATTGGAGAGAGTACCAAATCCTAACAAATTTAAGAGAGATCTGCATAAACCTTATCACCAGTGAATTTAAAATGTCATTTAAAAAAAAAACAAATTCCTGTAAATCCAGAGGTAGTCATGTTTAAAACTGAAGTCATTACATATTTTATAAAAATACAAAATTTATGTAAAAATGTCTAAATGTATATGCCTTCCCCGTCCATCAGACGGGTCTAACACCTAGTATATATAATAAAACTGTTCGAAATCATGTTGGCAATATTATGATTAAAATTTTTACAATATTTTATCAATTGAAATGATTGTATATTAAGTTAATATTAAATTTAATTAAAATTGTCCGGGTCAGACCGCACAAGGTGCGGTCCCCATGCTAGTATATTACTCCCTCCATTCACAAATAGATGTCGCTGGAGAGATTTCACAAAGTTTAAGAAGACAATAATTATCTTGTTAAAATACTATAATACCCTCATTTATTCTTAATTCAATTATAGTCCCAATAAAATTAAGTTCTAATACAATTCTATATTAAACATCACTACAATTTCCAATGTAAGGGTAATACTGGAAAAAATTGATAAAATATGCCTCGATTTGTGAGAACGACATCTATTTTGGAATATTTGGATTTTCCTCCAACGACATCTATTTGTGAATGGAGAGAGTACTATATTTAGAATAAGAAATGTTTGTGGAAGCAAATGTGTTTAGCTGCACGCATTGGAGACTGAAAACTGTCCCTTCTTTTTTCATTTACCAACTTTTTATATTAGAGATTTAAAAAAATCCCCTTTTTTTGCTTCTTCTTGTTTTAGTAGAAGTAGAGTAAGAGAGGTATATATATATCACTGGAATGATTGAATTATTGATACATTAGCCGGCTACACAACAGTGATTCAGGCATCACGTGTAACCGAGTTCAATGCCTAAATCACTGTCTAATGGTTCAGTTAGTTTTGTCATTGTCAAAAATGGTCGAAGAGGAAATTGTGAGAGGGTGGTCACAACTCACAATCATATAAGGACTACTTTTGCAAATGTAACAAACAATGCCCGGCCATTGTAGGTTGACTACCAGTCAATAGATTCCGGCCACTCCATGACTGGCCGGAGTGGTTATCATTACAAATTTACAATGCAGGAATATGAAAGTGGTTTCAGATAACATACTAAACAGATCTCATCAGATAAGATACTTTTGCACATTTTCGTTCGACCACCCAACTCCCACGTGTGACTTTCGTTCGACCTCCTTCGCACGCGTCCATCCTTATTTCCCTCAGCTCTTGGTCTCTTCTGCAACCAAAGTGTACTTCACGTGAAAGGCTATTAGGGTTTGGCTTTAGGATTACATCCTCTCTTTCATTTCTCTCCATCCGCCGCAGCCGTCTCTCCGGTTCTCCCCCCCCCCCTTTTTTTTTTTTTCTTTTTCTTAGAAATCTCGTTCTGCTCGTTCTTCTTCTTCTCCTTCTTTTGTTTGGAGTCCTGATCATCGCCGTCGTCGTCTTCCCCGTCCGAATCTGAATCAACCTTCTTCTTACGCGGCGCGTCTTCTCCAATCTCCTCCTTTTTCTTCTCCTCTTCGGAACCGGCAGAATTGAATTTGTCAAAAATCTTCCCGAATCCCTATCCAGCATCTCAACGACATACTCAACCTCAACTTTGGTGATCATTATTTGAGGATCGGAGTTCTCCTTGGCTCCATTGCAATGTAAACTAATGCTTGAATTCCATTGCAGTGTTTTCCTTTCAGTGAAAACTTGTAAATTAATGCTTGAAAGAATTTTTGAATTTGTATAAGTTCTTCTACATTGAGTTAGGTTGAGGGGTTAATTAGTTCATGTACAACTTAGAGTTCTCTAACTAGGCACCCCCCCTCCCTCCTCCCTTTCCTTACCTTCTCTGCATTTTCACTATATATTTTGTGCCTCCACTTTGTTGATTGATTTGCCTTTTAATTTTGAATTTTAAACCTAACAGGTGAAGTCTTACTCAAATAATATGATTTAATATATCCAACGGGCATGTAGTCGACCGCGCATCGCGCGGTCTATAACTCGGCTAGTTATTAAGAAAAGCATCGATGAGTTTAGTTTCCAACAACATTTGGTCCATAGCACATGAAACAAACTAACAACATTGTCTCAAAGATGAAAAGGGCTCTTCTTTGAGAATCAAGAAAAGCACTTTAATAAAATTCTTAAAACAAATCGGTATCGTAACGCAGGTAACAGCTGCCATACTGAAGACGGCATCCTTTGGTTTTCTCCTTCCTGCAGAGTTTTGGGAAGTTGCCAAAACCTGTTTTCAGACAAGTGCCACAAGTGCTGGCAGACAAATCCTGCGTGCATTGAACAACTCCATAAACCGTTTCGGAAGCCGAGATCTTAATGCTTCCTTTCCCGAACCCTTTGTTAGCCGGGACAAGCGCTTTCGAAATCAGATCATTCATCAGGGTCTCAACTTGTTTCCTGAAGAACTGTGTGTTTTACTTCACCTTGTGGCCTTTATCACCATAGGGCAAGTTGATGTAGGTAGATGGATCAAATTGGCCGAAGAATTTCTGATCAGAATACCTCATAAGGCATTTATCATAAAAGATCCTTTCATCAGTGCTATTAAAATCGTAATAGCAATTCTCACGGATACTCTTGGCTGCATCATGAATGCAGGCGGAACAATCTGAGGTGTTCACGTCTTTTCTGCACTGAGCCAATCCATGCACCGTGTCTTTACGTTTGCCAAAACTGGCTGTGCTGAGTCCATCGTTTTTAGCAGTGTTTGAGGCTAATTGAGCCAACACCACATCGATGTTTGCTGACATTTGAGCACTTGCAATGGGAGAATCATGCTTACAATCCCAAGTGATAATCTCTGCAAATGCTGCTGAACAGAAGCAGAGTAAGAGCACCAAAACAGGGCCAAACGAAGCCATTTAGATGAGTGGAAAAATTGCTACTATTTCAGTTTATATCTTGGTTGATGGAATGAAGGAAACTCCACTCCTATTTATAGCAATCGTATAGTAACTCAGTAAGAAGAAGATTAGCTGGGTGGGTGTAAATAATTTTACTTGACAGTCAAAAGTACAATAATTCATTATCCTCGAAATCTCTCCTTAAATGGAAAGCAGAAAATGACTTGTCAAATGAGAGGGTCCTATTTTTTTCACGCAAATAGTGGTCCAATTAGTGATATATGGAAGGATGTGAGACAGAATCTGCTGTCCCTTCAAACGTGATTTGTGTCGGAACCATAGCCGATTGAATTACCAGAATTGATCAACCAAAATTGTGCTCTGATATCATGTTAGAAACATAAACAGCCAGTTTATAAACAATTGGTTACGGCTTAAAAAGGCTTATAATTAACAGGTGTGTATGAAAAAAACATCAAACAAGTTGTGTTCGTGGTTTTCCCACCACAAGTCTAAGAGGAAAATGTTGATCTTGATATTCAATACCGCAATGTAGAACTTGTAATGATGTTTTCCAGCAATCTTGTAGGGACAAATAATTGGCCTATTTGAATTGGAGCCTTACATTGTGATTTTGCCGGAAAAATTGGCGGATCTACCCAAAGATTTACATGCGTCGTCAATTCTACCCTATTCAGTTAGCCAATATTACCCTAAACTATCGAATCGTTAGCCGATTTTGTCAAATTTGCTATTTTCCGTCTAAATTAACGGAATTCTATTTATTTTAATTATAAAAATACCCTACTAGTTTAAAAAATTTTAAAAATGATCCCAAAAATTTACAAAAATTATAAAATAGTCTCTTTTCAGTTTTTATTTAAAATTTTCTATTTTTTTTTATTTCTTTTTACTATTTTTCATAACTATAAAAATATACTATATGATCTTAAAAAAAATATTTATTTTAAAGTTTAATGTACAAATTTTTAATTACATATTTGTAAGTCACGTTTGATTTACATAAGCATATTAATTTTTTAATAATATGGTTTTACAATAATGATACTATTTTTTAATCTAAAGAATAGTTTTTTTTTTTAATTGGATGGCCCCAGCGAGAATCGAACCCTCGACCTTCCGGTAATAACCATCCCCCATCCTAATCCCCTAGCCATCCCACCCAACCCTCCCACCCTAAAGAATAAGATTATTTAACTAATACTAATTTTGCACAAAAAAATTAAACAATTCACATAGATTAAAAAAAATCTATTGGTATACTTTAATGTATCACAATTTAATTCAACAGACTTTAGATTGTATTATAAAATTTAAAAAGTAATCAAAACTAAAATATAAATATTCTTTAAAAGGCCAAGTACGCACATAAAGTAAAAAAAAATACCTATTTCGTTTCTACGTTGGCCCAATACAAGAATATAGTGTCGTGACATTTACAAAAATGGTACAAAATATTTTATAAAAAATATGTATATTTATTACTGTGAGGGTTTAACATTTTGTGATAATGTTTTGAGACATTAATATATCTAACTTTAGCAGGAAGTCTTTTCTTTTTTTTTAAAAAAAAAAAAAAAAATCTACTCCAGTACTGGACTCCACCTTTTTTTTGCATAAAAAAAAAATTGGATTTCTCCAGTGAGAATCAAACCTCGAAAAAAGTTTTAATCATCTCATATCTTAAATTACCTGACCATCCAATTGAGCCCTCTTACCTTTAGTGGACCCAGCTTAAACATGGGTAAAATCACTCTCCCGGTTAGAAATCCTTTGGTAACAATTAATCTTATATCTACTCTCATGAAACTTAACACCCTAAACACTAGAAAGTACCCTATATTTTAATTTAATAATTTTTTTAATTAGATAATACAATCTATAGTCTGTTTAGTTAATTTGCAATAAATTAAAATGTACTAATATATTTTTTTTTAATCTATGCTAAATGTTTTAATTTTTTGTAAAAAATTAGTTTTAGACAAAAAATCTTGTTCTTTAAATTAAAAAAGACAGATTAAAAAAATAATATCATTATTGTCCAGCCATATCATTAAAAAAATTAATATATTTATGTAAATCAACCACGAGTTACAAAATGTATATCTATAAATTTGTACTGTAGTATTTAAAAATAAATTATTTATTTAAAAGATCATAGAGTATATTTTTATGGTTATGAAAAATAGTAAAAAGAAATAAAAAAAGAAAAATTTAAATAAAAACTGAAAAGAGACTATTTTGTAATTTTGTAAATTTTTTGGGTTATTTTTATAAATATTTAAAACTATTAGGGTATTTTTATAATTAAAACAAATAGAATTTCGTTAATTTAGACGGAAAATAGCAAATTGGACAAAATCGGCTAACGGTTGGATGGTTTAGGGTAATATTGACTAACCGAAAAAGAATAAGGTAAAATTAACGACGCATATAAAGATTTGGATAAATCCGCCAATTTTTCCTGATTTTGCCTCTTCAAGGTTTCAATTGAAACATGATTTATTTGCAATTTTGGACACGCACACACAAAAAATAATAATAATAATAATACAAAATCAATAATTCAGACCCACTATCGGAGCGACCACTGCCACTGCCATCTACCAATGGTGGTAGCAATATCATTGTCAGACGACACCTTTGGTGAGAATCCGACAAACTGTGATTCGTTACAACTCCCGCAATAGTGAAAGCTTATTAAGTGAAAATTAATGCTGAACCCATCATTTTTCAGCCGTGTTTGCGTCTAATTGAGCCAATACCACATCGATGTTTGCTGACATTTGAGCACTTGCTAAGGTAGAGTTCTCGTTGCAAAACGAAACGATGCCATCTGAAAGTACTGGAGTACTAGAGCAGAGTAAGAGCAAGAAAACTAGGTGAAATGAAGCCATATGGGGGTTAGTTTATTAGACTCACTCTGGTTTCTTCAAGGGAAGGAAGGCCATCCCATTTTTATCAAATTGTCAATCACAAAACTCGTAATGAAACTAAGGCAACTCGAATGGAAGTGACTTGAGAATGGGCGTATTTTGTTGTCCACATATTAATTAACTAATAACTAAGCATACATCGTTATCCCTATAAAAATGGAGTGTACTGTATCGATTCCGGATCGCTGTCGACTTTATACATCGCTCATCAAAACTCAACATAACATTTTACTCCAAGTTTTATTTACACATGTTGATCTTTTCATTGGCTATTGAGTGCAAACAAATAAAAAGTTTTTATAATTTTTTTTCCCTCTTATAAAAGGAACAACTTAAGCAAATAATCAATAACACCAAAAAAGTATGATGCAAAAACCGAGATATATCAATTACCATATAATATTAAAAAGAAGAAGAAAAAGATTTGTCCTCAGTGGACTTCTTTGTTAGATTTATTTCATGATGAATTTAAATAGAATATATAAATTATTTAGGTTACTGAGTTAATAATATCCATGATGAATTTAGTACGTCGACTTTGTTGTCTACTTAGTTACATTGACAATAAAGCCGACGATAGCAAGTTATTCTATAATTAACTGATACTACAAATTTTAGTTTGATATCTATGTGTCAATTAACAAGACCTTTTTTTAATATCAATAGAAATGTATACTTGAAATTTTTAAGTTTGGAAATTGCGCCAACTTCTTAGTCGGGTTAAGAAAACCGCTAATAAAGTTCAAAATGGAATGTAACATCTTTGTCGACTACCACTCGGAGCAATATTTTTTTGTTTTTTTGTTTTTTTTTTTTGTTTTTTTGTTTTTTGGGTTTTCGAGGGTATCCATCCAGGCGATAGTCAGAGGGCTAATCCCCCGCCCCAACGGTCAGCTCTTTATGCGGTAAGAAATTAACCAAATAGTTTATTCCATTTATATGGGTAGGGATCGAACCCCTGACCTCATGCTTAAGGGACAGGGTGCTGAACTACCAGGTCAATATTTTACTTTTCTATGCAGTGTTTTGGCCCGTGGATTGTTTGCCTGCTTTTGAAAGTTAATAGGAAACGTAGGATTATATATTTTTTTTATGAATCCCAAAAAAAGTAAACAAAATTTCTCGTTAAGCCAAATTCATAATTTTAATCTCTTTATTCATTGATAGTGTAGTAAAAAATAACAATATTATTTTTCTCACAAAAAAAAAGATAGATGCAAAATTTAAATAGTACCTATCTATCAAGCAGTTATACATATATTGTAAGCAAAATAGTCGGCGTAATAATTTATAAAAAGTTCAGCAAAATGAGAAACAAACTTGTAATTGGAGTAGGGGGACAGAGTGAGGATGAAGATGGTCAAAATACAGAAGTTGGGCATCCCCATTTTATTGAATTGAAAGCAAATTTATTCCACCATACAAAAAGTAGAGGTACTACTATTAAAGTAATTCGGCATCCTCTCCTCTTAAAAGGGATCGGTTTCATAACGCAGAAAGCAGCTGCCATATAGAATGCGACATCCGTTGGTTTTCAGCTTCCGACAGAGTGTGGGAAATTTAGAAAGTCCTGTATTGAGACAAGTTGAACAAGTACTGGTAGACACGTCCTGAGTGCACTGAACTGTTCCATAAACAGTCTCAGATGCCGATATCGTAATGTTTCCTTTCCCGAAGAAGCCTAATTTATTAGCCGGGTCAATCGCTTGTGAGATGATATCATTCATCAGGATCCCGACTTGTTTCCTGAACAAATTCTGGTTGTTCACCTTGGAAGTCTTGCCGGAATAGGGCAAATTGACAACGGCATTTGGATCGAATATCCCGAAGAATTTCTGATCGGAATACCTGACGAGGCAATTGTCGGCAAATGCCCTTTCATCGGTGCTATTACCAAAGGGGGAGCAACTATCACGAAGAATACTAGCTGCAAAATGAATGCAGGAGGAACAGGCTGAGGTGTTGAAGTCCTTTCTGCATTGTCCCAATCCGTACACCGTGTCATTACCTTGGCCATAAGTGGCAATGCTGAACCCACCATTTTTAGCCGTGTTTGAGTCTAATTGGCCCAAAACAACATCGACGTTTGCTGACATTTGAGCGCTTGCAATGGTGGAGTTCTCATTACAATACGAGATGGCAAAATCTGCAAGTACTGCAGTAGTACTGGAGCAGAGTAAGAGCAAGAAAACTAGGCCAAATGAAGCCATTATATAATTGTGATAACTGAGTTAAAAACTTAAAACAGGATCACTCTGCTTTTTCTTCAAGCCAGAAGAAAGGTTGATCCAATTTATAGTGCCCAGAAACGCGCAAGGAGCATTAGCTGGAGGGGCGTATTTTATTGACCAATCGTACTACAAAATGTGTTGAACAAACCATAAAAACTTAAGCCAAATGTGACTTGAATTCTTTACGTAAAATTAAAAGCAGAAAAAGACTTGTCCCGGTGAGTCAGGGGACAGTACTGAGAGTGTTCTGTTCACGGTTCTTCCACAAAAGCATAGCTGGGTTATTCCATCTCCAAGTGGATTGATTATTATTCAGAGCAATAGAATGATCCCCCCACCACTCAGTTTCTAGGACATCCAGAGGAATGGAACTTGGAACTTGGATTAATAAAAACTAAAATGTACAAATGGTCTCTTACATTTGGGTCTACTTCAATTTGTCTCTAACATTAATATTTCAATATCGTAGTCCCAAACATTATTTTTTCAAACTTTTTTGATCCCATTTCACTGTTTCCGGCCGTTGACATGCCGGAATCAAGAGTATTTTCGTCTTTTAATTTAATTGAATTTCTATTAAAATTTAAATTATTGAAAATATTTTAAAATTCATATTTCATTATTTAATTATTAAAATATTATTTATTAATTAAAAATATTATTATAAAAATTTTAAAATTTACGTTATTTTCAAAACTATTTATCATTTACCTTAGGTCAAAGTAATGGTACTTATGTTGCACTTTAACATTAGGCCCACTGTAACTTAAAAAATTTACCGAGTTACAGTAAATAATTCAAAATTCAATTTCTTTTTTTTTTTTAAAAAAAAAAAGCAAAACCAGTTTTTTTACTCTGACCGCTACAGTAAATCCTAAATGATAATTATGTTGCACTTTTAACCTTAGACCCACTATAATTTAAAAAATTTACCGAGTTACAGTAAATAATTCAAAATTCAATTTTTTTTAAAAAAAAGAAAAAGCAAAACCCAGATTTTTTTTTTTACTTTGAACACTACAGTTGAATTATAAATTATTTACTGTAACTCGCCAAATTTTTTAAGTTACATTGTGTCCAAGGTTAAAAGTGCAACATAAGGGTTTACTGTAACGGTCAATTACTTTATTTTGCTTTTTCTTTTTTTGTAAAAAAAATTGAATTTTAAATTATTTACTATAACTCAGTAAATTTTTTAAATTATAGTGGATCCAAGGTTAAAAAAATAACGTAGCGGTCAGAGTAAAAAAAAAATCTTGGTTTTCCTTTTGTTTTTTGGAAAAAAAAAATTGAATTTTGAATTATTTACTGTAACTCAGTAAATTTTTTAAGTTACAATGGGTCTAAGGTTAAAAGTACAACATAATTACCATTTAGATTTTATTATAGCGGTCAGAGTAAAAAGAAATCTTCGTTTTGCTTTTTCTTTTTTTAAAAAAAATTAAATTTTGAATTATTTACTGTAACTCGGTAAATTTTTTAATTTACAGTGGACCCAAGATTAAAAGTGTGACATAATTACCATTTAAGGTTTACTGCAGCGGTCAGATTAAAAAGAAATCTTAGTTTTGCTTTTTTTTTATAAAAAAAAAAATTGAATTTTGAATTATTTACTATAACTTGGTAAATTTTTAAAGTTGCGGTATGCCCAAAATTAAAAGTGCAACATAATTACCATTTACTGTGTACTTAAAGTAAATAATAAATGAAAAAAGTAATTTTGAAAATAATGATAAATTTTATAATTGTATAATAATATTTTAAATTAATAAATAATATTTTAACAATTAAATAATGAAATTTGAATTTTAAAATAATTTTAATGATTTAAATTTTAATAAAAATTTAAATTAAAAAGACAAAAATACCCTTGATTCCGGAATGTCAACGGCCGGAAACAGTGAAATTGGACAAAAAAAGTGTGAAAACATAATGTTTGGGACTACGATATTGAAATGTTAATGTTAAGGACGTAAATTCAAGTAAGCCCAAATGTAAGAGACTATTTGGACATTTTAATCATTAATAAATATGTTAAGATTGCACACAAAAATAGAGCAATTTTTATATACAGTATCTTAACATTAGATCATCATATTAACAAAAATTTCATAAAATTTGGATAAAAGTGTAGATATCATAAATTGTGTAGTGTTATTGATTTCCCTGATGATTTTTCTATTATTATGTTTGAAAATCATATTCATAAGGACAATATCTAAACTTTATCAATATATACTTTAAAGTCATAACAAGAAAATAATTCCTAAGGACAATATATACTTTAAAGTTATTATAACAGGAAAACAAGTTCGTTGTCAATTACATACTCCGATTTGTATCTTTATTTTCTGCATTTTATTCTCAATAGATGGAACTGTTAAAAGGTTTGTCCTATGAAAAACTTTTCCTCATAAAAAAGAAAAAAAACTTTTCCTTATTTCTTAATTTGTTCTCATTACAAAACGAGGTGATAATCTCTGCAAGTACTGAAGTACCACAAAAGCAGAGTAAGAGCAAGAAGACAAGGCGAAAGGAAGCCATTGTTGGAGCTCACAATGCGTTTTCTTCAGGGGAAGAAAGGCTATTATCCAATTTATATGTGAATCGGAAACTCGTAAGAACCAAAAGGTGGAGAAGGGGCGTTATTTGTTGACTTGCCAGTTGTAAAAATTTACCGAAACCAGGAAACCATGAACGGAAAGTGACTTGAAAATATAAATCATGATCCCAAAAATATATGCTGGAAAAGACATGATTATATTTCCAGTGATTTTGTGGGGGAGTATGTGTTTTAAGTTGTGTTTGTTCCATTTGAATGTTGACTTGTTCCAACTCCAAGTGGATGATTGCTCCATTACTGAGAGCAAATAGAATGATTACAGCACTCTGTTTCTAGGAAACCCTTTGGCTTGCACGGTATATGTGGTTGAAAGTTGAAATAAACCGGGAAACATTAATATTTTATTTCCTTAGTTTTTTTTTTTTTTTGTTGATTCTATATTTTCAATCATTGTGTCTCTACTATCCATTATTTGAATCCCGCCTTAAGAGTACTCATTCACACATGATAACATTTTTCATCGGCTTTTATATGCAATTGAATACGTGAAATCATGATTTATGAAAATAATCAATAACACTAGAAATATAGAATGGGAAGATTAACCTTGATCAATGAATGAACAGTTTAATATGCACAAATTGTGAAAATGTTTAGTTAAAAAATAAAATAAAATAAAAAATCCTTGCGTCGACATTTATAAGGTGACGAAAAGTTAACTTACACAATTTACAACCAAAAAAAAACTTACGAAAAATTTTAAAATCAATTCCTATGTATCAATCATCAACGAACAAGGAGACTTCATAAATATTTTTCAATATTCAAAAGAAAACCAATATTGAAAGTTTTCGATGAATTTTCAAATTGCATAATTACATTTACTTTTTAGCCTGATTAAAAGAGCCGCCGAGCAAATTGAAAGCATATTGTATTAGATTGATTATATGATGCGCCGACTTTCATATCGGTCAAGACAAAATAAAAAGAAACTAGTACGTACTATCTAGTACTCTATAATTCTGTATTATTTGGTTGGCTGAATTCCCGAATTTTGATTTCTTTTTTTTTCTTTTTCTTCTTCCGTTTCTTTCATTGAGGATACACGAGAAAATTTGACGATTTCTCCTTCGCCTAAGCTAACTGAACTGAACTTAAAGTTTCAGGGACATAACTGGGTGTGCAAAAGTAAGAAAACATGTTTTAGACTTGGTTTGCCTGGGAATGAAGCTTTGGATTTTTCGTACAATCAAAACTTAATCTGAACTCCATAAATTCATAAATAAACGCAAGAAAAAGGGAAAATATTGTCGTTGACCGCCAGCCCATAAAGTCGCGATTTCAATAATTGGAGTCAAAAAAGGGGGCAAAACCAAAATGGATATAATGCAGGACAGAGAAGATGGTCAAAGACTCAAAATAAGAAGTTGACCTTCAAACAGAAAACAAATTTATTCCACCATCAACAATAGAGGTACATACTTAATTTCAGAAGAAAGGAACTCAGCATGACTCAAATGTCACTGCATTTTAAGGTAGAGAACTGATAATCTGTGATTATTAAAGATACAAAAACGAGTTCAGTTTGATTTCCAAACAGCATATGCTCTTTAGCATGACGTTTATTATTTTAAGGTATTTGAACTACTGTATGTATAAATAGGATTACAATGCCTGGAAACAAAAACAACTTTAAAAGGGATTTTTTTCATAACGCAGAAAGCAGCTGCCGTATAGAATCTGACATCCTTTAGTTCTGCCCTTCCTGCAGAATCTGTCGAGGTTAGCGAACCCTGTTTTCAGACAAGTCGAACAAGTACTGGTGGACAGATCCTGAGTGCACTGAACCACTCCATAAATAGTTTCAGATGCCGATGTGTTAAAACTTCCTTTCCCGAAGAACCCTTTATTAGCCGGCGCAATCGCTTGCGAAATCATATCATTCATCAGAGTTGACAGTTGTTGCCTGAACACTTTCGGGTTTTCCACCTTGTTACCATAGGGTTTGCCAGCATAGGGCAAGTTGATAACGCCGGACGGATCGAATATCCCGAAGAATTTCTGATCGGAATACCTCAACAGGCAACTATCGTAATAAATCCTTTCATCAGTGCTATTAGCTTCGTAATAGCAACTCTGACGAATATAAGCGGCTGCATCATGAATGCAGGTGGAACAAGCAGAGGAATTCACGTCTTTTCTGCATTGTCCCAACCCGTAAACCGTGTCTTTTCCCTGGCCGTAAGTGGCAATGCTGAACCCACCATTTTTAGCAGTGTTTGAGTCTAATTGAGCCAACACGACATCGATGTTGGCTGACATTTGAGCACTTGCTAAGGTGGAGTTCTCATTACAAAAGGAGATGATACTTGCAAGTGATGCAGTGCTAGAACAGAGTAAGAGCAAGAAAACAAGGGGAAATGAAGCCATTTGTGCTATTAATTGAGAGTAAAATTCACTCTGATTTTTTTCAAGCTGGAAGAAAGGCTATCCTATTTATGGTAACCAGAAAGTGAGAAACTGGAAAGAGAAGCATAGGTGGAGGGTGTGTTTTATTGACCAGAGGCAAAAGTGTGTTGAAAACCAGAAAAACTAATAAGCGAAGTATGACTTGTCATGTCTTATCTAAAATCAAAAGCAGCCATTGACAGTGAGAGGATTCTGTTTAAGGTTCTTCCGGAAAGCATAGCTGGATGTTGACTTTGTTCCAACTCCAAGTGGATTGCATTATTCAGAGCATCAGAATGATCCCAGTAATCAGTTTCTAGGGAAATCCAGATAACTTGCTACGAACGGGCAGAGACGCGAATTGGCTATGTATTTATTATTTTAGAAAGTACGTACATTATTGCATATTATTCTATTTACTATATATAAATTCTAAATCCTAGCAGAAATGTAGATAATTCTCCATCAAATTTCATATAGGTCTACTAGATGTTAAACCGCACGATGAGCGGGGTTTATTCATATCTATATGAAAAAAAAAATTTCAAATTTAAGGTGATATAAATGAAGTTATTGATTTGTAATAATAAATTTTATGCGATTAAAAATATATTAGACACCATCTCATAAATAAAAAATAGATAAACTATTGGTATTATATATATATATATATATTACGATATTACTGTAATTACTTTAGGGTTTGGTAAATATATATGTTGTATTTACTGTATTTACATTTATTCTTTTAACCGGTTATAAGTGTATATATTGTAACCCTAAGTCGTAATACAAAGGCAAGAAAGCCTACTTTCGCTTTCTTCCTCAGCCGCCTGATTTCCTTTATGGCATCAATCGCCGACAATTCATTCTTTCTGTTGATATGACGAATCCTAATGATCCTCCTCAGTCTAGTAAGTCCGTTAATTCATTAACGGATGAAGGAGGCCGTGATCGTCAAATTTCCGATGATTTCTCTCGTCGAAAAACCATTTCTCCGTATGATCTTTCCGGCAGTGATCAACAGGGACAGTCCATCACCACAATCCAGCTTCAAGGCGAGTCTAATTACGATGAATGGTGCAGCGCCGTCAAGACCGCTTTACGGGCACAGAAAAATACGGCTTCGTGGATGGCTCTATCCCTGAACCGTCGCCTGATTCTCCAGAATTTGAAGATTGGTGGACGATCAATTCCTTGATCGTGTCCTGGATTATGAATACCGTTGAGCCGTCGTTCCGGTCGTCTCTCACTCATATGGAGGTTGCCGCTGATTTGTGGGCTGACATCCAAGAACGTCTCTCCCAGGTTAATGGTCCGAAGATCCAACAGTTGAAGGCCGATCTGGCGGCTTGCAAGCAGAAAGGTCTCTCGATGGCCATGTATTACGGCCGTCTGAAGAAGCTTTGGGAAGCTTTGGCCACATACAATCAATTTCTGGCCTGTTCTTGTGGCAAATGTACCTGCAATCTCGCCGCGGTTGCTACTCAACGCCTGGAAACAGAGAAGATTCATCAGTTCCTTCTCGGGTTGGATGATTCAGTTTATGACACAGCTCGCTCCAACATTCTGGCTCAAGATCCCTTGCCTCGCCTCAATAAAGTGCACGCGACCATGGTCCGGGAAGAGAAAATGCGGCAGATCACGTATTCGGCGGAGACCACGTCCGACGTCATGAGGTTTGCGGTTCAGCCTTCCTCCGGCGGTCCAGTTTCTGCAGCAACTCCGGCTGCGGAAACTTCTGTTTTTGCGGCTGCTGTAGGTGTGCTTTCCAGCGGCCGTGGGTCTTCTCGTGACAAACCCTTGTTTTGCACTCATTGTAACCGGCCGCATCATGATGTCTCCACTTGTTTTCAGCTTGTGGGTTATTCGGAAGGTTGGTCGCGTGGTTCTGGTGGTCGTGGACGCGGGCGTGGCCGCGGTCGTGGCCGTTCTCCTTTGGGTTCTGGTGTTGGATCTTTTGTGCCGAGTAGCGCGTCGCCGAATTCTGCTTCCGCTATCAATACCATGATGGTTGCTCCGGGTTCTGGTCCTCCGGTTTTGGCTAATGCTATCACCGGTTTGAACAATGACCAATGGCACACCCTTCTTCAACTTTTGCAATCCTCTAAGCCTGGTTCGATAGAAAAGCTTTCTGGTATGTCTTGGTCTGAATTGTGGATGTATGATTCCGGAGCCACTAGACATATGACTGGCAGTTTGGATTTTTTATGGATGTTCGTGGGATTTTTTACGATGTTTATCTTGGTTCAATTGCTTAATGGTCACCATACTTGGGCCACTAAGGTTGGCACTGTTATTCTGAGCAATCATGTCAAGTTGATTAATGTGCTTTATGTTCCCTGCTGTGTCACTTGATTTCTGTGTCCCAATTATTATAAGATTCTGGTTATGTTGCTCATTTCACCCGTGATTTTTGTATTGTGCAGAAACTCGCTTTGAGGACGCTGATTGGAGTGGGTGAGCAACGAGAGGGATTGTATTTCTTCCGGGACGTGGAGTTTGCTGCTCCAGTTACATCTACCTGTGTATCTTCTTTTGATCTGTGGCACCAGCGCCTCGAACATCATTCTCGTCAGGTCTTAGAATCTTTTTCATTTGTTGTTTCCAAAGTGGGTTGCAATAAGGCTTGTGATGTTTGCTTTCGAGCCAAGCAATCTAGGACTAGCTTTCCTCTTAGTTCTTCGACTACTTCTGATATTTTTCATTTGATACGTTGTGATTTGTGGGGCCCGTTTATCTTTTAACTATTGTTAATGATTGCTATCGTGCTACTTGGATATATTTGTTGAATGATAAGAAAGAGGTTTCTTCTTCTTTATTTCAATTTTTTGCTATGGTTGAACGTCAGTTTAGCAAACTTGTGAAAGTTGTTCGTAGTGATAATGATACTGAGTTCATGTGCAAATTTTTTGCTATGGTTGAACGTCAGTTTAGCAAACTTGTGAAAGTTGTTCGTAGTGATAATGGTACTGAGTTCATGTGCCTGACTGATTATTTTCCAGCCGCCTGATTTCCCTTAATATATATGCTATAAAATGGTAGTATATGTATGTATGTATGTATATATATATATATATATATATATATATATATATTGCTTAAGGAAAATGTAATAATACAAGCTCTAAGTATTAGAGTAATGATAGATGACTCACCCAAATAACTCACTATTCTAACTCACTTGATGTGGCATGCCATGTTGGACACTCCACCTCGTCCCATCTTATTAATCTTTTTTATTTGGAAAAAAAATAAAATAGGAAACAAAAGGAAAAAGTCAAAACTTGCCCGTTCACTTTGCCCTCCCCTGAGCACGGGCGGCTGAATCCCATCAAGCAAAGTGATCATTTTTTGGGAATTTGTTTCGTCTCCTCCCATCTTCCGGATTTCGAACACCGATCAAACTCATTCCTTTTTCTAGACTCTTATTATATTGCTCTTCTTTTCCTCCTAAGAAATTATCAACTGTAATCTCGGCAATTTTGCTATCGAGGTTGTGGTGTCACTCCAATTGAAGAAGTTTCGGTAAGAATCTTAGGTTTTTTATTTTTCTGAATTTTTATTCTTTAGAAATTTTGCTGCCTAGGATCCCCAGAATATGTTTTTTTTAGCCTTTTTTAGGGGCTTTTAGTTTGTTCTGTATATTGTATTTTGGCATGGCGATTTGAATAAAAATTTGATTAAATTTCTTGAAAGGTTTTATAAATCTGATTAAATTTTTTTTTAAAAATAAAATAGTTCATGCATAAGAATGTTTTGGGGAATCGTTATCTATATGATTGAGTAGAAAATAAAATTTACTGGAGATCTTTATGCATATGATGTTATTAAATGAAAAAATTTATGAGTATGTAGGATTAACATTTCATGGAACAAGACAAAGTTGTATGTGAGATGTAATGTGATGTTGAGGAAGTCGTTGAAGAGCCAACAAATGCAAATGAAGTCGAAGTTCCTAAACCAGGAATGTTATTTTTGTCCGAAGGAGAAGTCCGAGACTTTTATCAATCATATGCTCGAAGTATTGATTTTGGTGTTAGCAAGTTACGCATTCATATGCTCGAAGTATTGATTTTGGTGTTAGCAAGTTACGCGGAAAAAAGTAGATTATGGGAAGCAAAATTATTTTGTTATTGGGTGCGCCAAGAGTCGTAAAACAACATCTCGAGGTAGAAATATTTTTAATTCTCGGCCTTCAACCAAAACAAATTGCAAAGCCAAGATTAATGTTGCCGTCCAAAGAGATGGAAACTTTGTAATTACCCGTGTTGACCTTGAACACAAACATTTGTGCAGCCCTGGAACGTCACACCATTTTAAATCGTATAAGGTTTTGGATGATTATACCAAAAGAAAGTTGGAATATAATGATCAAGCCGGTTTACCCCTGAGTAAGAGTTTCCAATCATTGGTTGTGGAACATGGTGGACATGACAATTTGCCATTTGATGAGAGAACATGTCGAAATTATGTTTCAGAAGCAAGAAGGTTAATACTAGGGATTGGAGATGCCGAAGCCTTGAGTAATTATTTTTCGCGTATGCAATCTCGGAATGCCAACTTTTGGTTGATCCAGATGAAAATTCTCGAATTTGGAATGTTTTTTGGTCAGATGCTAGATATAGAGCATCATATGAATATTTTTCTGATTTGATTATCTTTGACACTACTTATTTGACCAATTGTTATAACATGCCATTTGCTCCATTTGTTGGAGTAAATAATCATGGTGCGTCTATTTTTCTAGGTTGTGGATTGATATCACATGAGGATGGAAATTCTTTCAAGTGGCTGTTCAAATCATGGTTGGCTTGTATGCATGGACATGCTCCAAAGGCTATAATCACTGACCAGAGTGCCAAGCTATGCGAAATGCAATTGAAGAGGTATTCTCAAATACTCATCATCGCATATGTCTTTGGCATGTCATGCAAAAGATACCAAAAAAGTTGTGTGGTTATACTACCATTGAAGAATGTGAAGAAAAATGGCAAAAGTTGATTGAGGACTTTGAGTTAGAGAATAATGAGTGGTTGAACTCTTTGTATGATAAACGTCATAGATGGATACCTGTGTTTGTCAAAGATAAATTTTGGGCTGGAATGTCTACAACTCAAAGAAGTGAAAGTATGAATGCTTATTTTGATGGTTACATAAATTCGAAAACAACTTTGAGGCAATTTGTTGAGCAATATGATAATTGTTTGAAGAAAAAGATTGAGAAAGAAAAGGATTTTGATTTTTACTCTTTTAACTCTGTCTATCCTGTTTTAAGTGGTTATGCCATTGAAAGACAATTTCAAAGTGTCTACACAAATTTTATATTCAGATTGTTCCAAGTTAAATGGAAAGGTTTGATGTTATGCAACACCTTATTGGTGAACCAAGAAGGAACAACACAAACATTTGAAGTTGTGGAAATATTGGAGACTGATGGAAAACCTC